CCAGAAAAGATCAAACAGCAACAAACTACACATTTTATCACTGCATCTTATATAAAGGAATAAAATGTAATTCACCAGCAACACTTCAAAAAAAAAAATAGATGGAACTTTAATCTTTGTTCAAATATAAAACTGGTGAAAATACTTGTCTTTGAAAATACTTGTCTTTGTGAATATACTTGTCTTTGAAGCCTTATCTTTGCATTTTATTCTACAGGTAGTCCTCGACCTATGACCACAATTGAGCCCAACATTTCTGTTGCTAAGTGAGACATTTGTTAAGTGAGTTTTGCCCCATTTTACAACCTTTCAGTTAAGTGAATCACTGCAGTGTTAAGTTAGTAATAGTTATGAAATGAATCTGGCTTCCCCAGTGACTTTGCTTGTCAGAAGGTCACAAAAGATGATCACACTCGAACTATCATAAATATGAGTGAGTTGCCAAATATCAGAATTTTGATCATGTGACCATGGGGATGCGGCAGTGATGGTAAGTGTGAGAAAAGGTCACAAGTTACTTTTTTCAGTGCTGTTGTAACTTTGAATGGTCACTTACAACGATTGGTTGTAAGTTGAAGACTATCTACAATTCCCCTCTCCCCACAGAATCCATCACTTCACAGTTGTTCTCTTAACACTATTCATGTGTCACTATTACGGGAAACAATCAGACATAAATGTTGTTAGAAGAAACCCTGCAGTGCACAGATTTGGGGCAAGTTGGATTGGTCCAGTGCAGGCTGGCTGGCTCAGGAATTCTGGGAGTTGAAGTCCACAAGTCATAAAGGAGCCAAGGTTGCCTACTCCTGGTCCAGTGCATCCTGATTAATATAGGAAGATGTTCTGATACAGAATACTAAAAATGCATCTGAACTTTCCTTTCTTTCCTTCTGTTCATGCGAAGGTGTACTACCCTAGGAGACAATTTAGAACAGTTGAATGTATATTTCAGTCCACATGAGTTTGATATTAAAATTAGGAACTTATTTAAACCTAACGTGAGAAAGTTATCTCTGTCCTTATAGCAAGTAGGACCCATGAAAGAAATTAATAGCCATTTCTGTTTCTGTCCTGGATTTAGTTCAGCAAAAGGAATCCATTGATTCCTTTTGAATCAACCAGGAAAATCTGAACACCGGTTTGAGAAACTTGGCACTGCAACTGTTAGCGAACCAACGTCAGACTGAAACACAGTCCCCAGATTGCATCTGAAATAAATGAATGAACTTGAGCTATATCAGAAGGTAACTTGGCTGCTAACAGTTAGCAAGGCTTTGTGAGGTTACAGTTCTGCAAGATTTAGAGAGCTACTTTGCAAAGTTTGCACAAACTTGAATGAAATACCTACAGGAAGGTGGAGAAACCTGGTCATTGGTTTCCCTCTAGTGGCCATTAGTATAAGCCTCCTTTTCTTCTCCTGGGATAGGTACATTAATAAGATGCGCTAGGATTTTAATAATTTGGAGGTGCACCAGACCATCCCATGTAATTGTAGGTACATTAATGAGATGCGCTAGGATTTTAATAATTTGGAGGTGCACCAGACCATCCCATGTAATTGTAGGTACATTAATGAGATGCGCTAGGATTTTAATAATTTGGAGGTGCACCAGACCATCCCATGTAATTGTGCAAAGATACTTGAAACCTGAAAGCATTGGCAACCTCTAAAGTAGATAATTTTATTTGTTCTCCTCTCTCCTCTCCTCTACACCCCCTGCACTGAATCCAAAGTAGTATTCTCAAAGGTAGGCCTTCTTGTGATGCAGGAGGAGGGAAAATCTATTTCTTTGCTAATGTGCACATTTAGTGTAAATATAAGAAAGGGATGGGATAGTTTTCCCCTGCCAAAGTGATTGTATTGTTCCTAATGTACCAGAAAGCCACATGCAAGAGCAAAAGGGGCCTAAACAAAACGTAAATTGGAGTCAACTCCACCAGATATTCTCTCAAACACACACAGATGTATGTATACATCCATCTCTCCATCCTGAAATTAGCCTTTCAACCAATTTTACTACAAAGATAGGTAGTTTGGGCTCCAGCCAACCTATCAGTTGGCACTCCTTTAATGGCTAAGAAGCCTTCATCTTTAGATTCCTAAGTTCTTCTGATTTCTGCATATGAAATATTAAGATGGAACTTAGCAGGGGCCTCTCTCAAGTCAAGTTTAACTCCTGGTGTTGACATGGACATGTTCCATGCTGCTTTTTGACGATGTTATGAAAATGACTTATCACTGGCTTTTTTTGAGTTGTTTTGTTTTTCTTTTCAACTTTCCAGTCTGGCTGTAACAATCTCCCATCTCGATATTAATAAATCAGACTTTTGCAGCACTTCAGATTTTGTTCTGCACAAGATGTTTCAGAATGTAGAGGTATACACAAGTACCTGCCCACAACTCTCTATAATTATATTTAATTAAAATAGCAATTATATTAAAATTATTGTGCTAAGGGATAATTAAATAGAAGTGATATAATGGATCTACGTTATTTCATCTACCCACTTCATCCTGGAATAGGAAGTTGGGGTCCTTTCAGATTCCTCTCATCATGAGTCATGATGAATTGGAATACAAATTACAGCAATGCACACAAATAAGTACTATCCTGGAGAAGGCAGATTGCTCAGATGGGGGGAAGGGGGGAGACACAGAGGTGTTGGTTGATTCATTCAGTAACTCAAAGAGATAAATCTTAAGAGTCAGCCAACCTTTCTTAGCCCAATTAATTTTTTTCTGAAGAATCATCTTCTACAACACTACCTTGCAATGTATTCCCACCTCACTGCTTCCAAAATAATAACCTTGTAGTGAAAAGACTATAGTAATTCCTTGGCCAAATCTTCTCTCACTCCCACGATGTCTCCTGTTCTTAACAAAAATGGATAGGCTGTAATTATTACTTGAATATGTAGCTAAATTGGACACCTGGACAGAGCAATCTTAGTGGAGCTTGCAAGAACCAAGAAATGGTTGCAACAGAAGTTTCTCAGGATTCTAAAGTGGATTCAGAAGGGATTGGCTTTCACATTCTCCAGTGCCTTCCCATGTGGCCTCCTTTTCTTTCCCCTTTTGTTCGACAAGAGGTGGCTATCCCCTGCCAGGAGTCCTCTGGCTAAAGGCAAGGAAACCCATCACAGAAGCGTAGCCCATGAATAAGCTTCTTAGAGGAGAAAGGCAGGTTCTGACAACTGCTCTATTTGTTGGATTAAGCTGTATGGATGATGATGATGATGATGATGATGATGATGATGATGATGATGATAATAATAATAATAAAGTTGAAAGGGACCTTGGAGGTCATCTAATCCAACCCCCTGCTCAGGCAGGAAACCCTATACCATTTTGGACAAATGGCTGTCCAGTCTCTTCTTTAAAACTTCCAGGATTGGAGCATTCACTGCTTCTGGAGGCAGGTTGTTCCACTGGTTAATTGTTCTAACTGTCAGCAAGTTTCTCCTTAGTTCTAGGTTGCTTCTCTCCTTGATTAGTTTCCATCTGTTGCTTCTTGTCCTGCCTTCAGGCGCTTTGGAGAATAGCTTGAGTCCCTCTTCTTTGTGGCAGCCCCTGAGATATTGGAACACTGCTATCATGTCCCCCCTCGTCCTTCTCTTCATTAAACTAGACATATCCAGTTCCAGTAACCTCTCCTTATATATTTTAGCCTCCAGTCTAATAGGTTTGCTCAAGGTACTATTCCCGTGAGGAGGATAAAGAGCAAGAGAGTTGTATAGTTAACTATTTGAGCTAAACCGGAGAGTACATTTTTCCTGGTTTTGCAGGGGCTGGGATTCTTTTTCAAATATGTTTGTGCAAGTTGAAGCCTTCTGCAGCAACTACTCAGTCCCTTCCTCCTAATAGGCACAGTTTTTATACATTGAAAATTAATGTGCTTTGGATGACAGATCATCCCAGCCTTCTGACCTCAGAATTCTTCTATAGCGCCCTGTACCTGTATTTCTCTGTTCTATTCTATCAGTCCAGTAATAGTAGAAATCAGTATTACCATGCAGTAATTACCTTCTGCCAAGTTATGTGAGCTCATGAATAAGAAAGGTGTTGCAGTCATGGCCAAAGTTATTAACATCCAGTTCATTCCATAGGATCAACTCTACCTATGTGCTATCTGGCATTATAAGTCTCCAGGAAAAAACATCAAAATAGCAGAGCTTAAATTACATATTTTGGAAGACAAGTCAATCTGCACACCAGAAGTGAAGCTGATGCTTAGCACACCAATATAACAACATCAAAATATACCTATCTTGGCCAGCATAGGTTAGACTTACCCTCAAAGAGAGAAGCATTTAGCAGAATAAGATTCCAGCATGGGTATTTCATCCCTTTCCATTAAAATTCTCCTTGACTATTCCACAACTGTAAAATTGAAATAGATTCTGTTTTTTTAAGACATAGTATGTTTAGAGAAAATTGCTTCCCATCCTCTACTCCCAAAAAACTCCAAAGGCTAAGACAGAAATTGGTCCAATGTGTATGCCATCTTTTGTTATATCCTTGCACTAAAACCTTTTACGCTCATTAAAACACCATGCATAAACGATAGGAGAGTAGCAGATTGCAAGTAACCAGTCCTATTTCAGCAGGATGAGGGAAAACAGCTGGTTTATAGGTCTGAAGGCCAATAGCTCCAATGTTCTCCAAAACTCTTTGCATCAAGATCAGTTTTGACTGTGAATCATTCTTGCTTCCTGCAAGGAAAGAGACACTGTTGTACATTCTTCTTTTTTATACCTTGTTGCATTTTTAAGGCAGGATGGGAGATAACCTCTCTGGGTTACTCCAAACTATCTGCTAAATGAGATCTTCTGTGATTCTGGAGAATCCAGTTTTCACAGCACAAATAACTACTTTATACTTGTGGCACATGGAAGCTACATTTTCCTTTTGCTTCAAGGAGAGAATAAGAAACCAGCAGCCAGATGTTAGATTTGCTTGTTTTATTTCAAGAGATGCCAGATTAATCAGAAGGCAGAAATTAAGTCATACTTTGAAGAAAAGGAGAAATAAGGAATGCATTACATAATCAGGGCAAGTTAGCCAGATTTGTCATAATTCTTGGAGAGGCAACAAATCCTGGCTTGCGTGCCTTAACTAAATATTGCACAGCAGGAGTTCAATTTTATATCCCTTGCCAATGATCATTAAAACAACAGTCAGAATTGGAACCATGATGTCTTTTTAACAGAAGTTTCCATTTGTGCTACCCCTTAGCCTTTCATATTCACCAGGGATTCTTTATAGTAATTCATAGGCACAGTCCTGGCCCTGTAGCCCCACAGTCTATCTGTGTGTGCTGTATTTACAACAGAGCAGGGAGTGAGCATCAGCCTTTCCTATAAGAAACATTAAGGAAAGCAATATTGCAGAGCAGAATTATTTCTCAGGCTTGGCACTGTCTCATTTTAATTCCTTTCTCACTTTCTCCCAGGATTAAATGTCTGCTGAATGTGCATCCAGCTTCAGACGGAGTCCTTGAGCAGCCAGGAAAAGCAAGATGCCAGCCAAACCCTCTGTGCCAAAAGAGAGCCACGCAAGTGCCAGGGACCAGCCAAAAGTAATATGGACATGGTCAAAACGCTGTCGGTCAAACATGCGCACAGTCTCAGTGAATGCTGCTTTGGAGTAGCAGATATAGGTGCTTGTCCCCGACAGAGTCAGGAATGCTGAAGGGAAGAAAAGTGGAGAAAAGGTCATCAGAGCACCAATTCGAGTAGCAAATATAGTCATTCTGTTGGTATCAGTAGAGGTAAATGGAGCAATGTCACAAACAGATGATCAAGCAAAGAGGCAGGGCTACCATCTCCTTGTTTGCTTGGAAGTTTCTAGAAGCATTTGTAAACGAGATAGAACTTTGCATTCTAATAAAGGGTATCCTTAGATGCCACACCATCATAAAATAGTTTCCAGAGAGATCTTGCTGTAAGTATCCAAGAAATAAGTCTCATAGGAGAGTGGTCCCTGCTAGAGAAATGCTTGTGGATTCTATCCAGAAAAGACCTGGATAAATCTAGCAACCGTATTAACTGCGCTTCAGTCATGTGTCCTATTAGCTTCAGAATAAATTAATTATTTATAGTTTCTAACATAGTGAATGTGATTGTTACAGCAATCCCACCGCTTCACTTGCTGGCAATTTGAGCCGGTTATTCTGAGATGGTTCACAGATAACCTATGTCCATGTCTGCTGTGAGTCTCAATTCCTAGAAGTACAATCTGCCCTGTATAATCTCAAGAGCCACTACTTGGATCTGAGATGATATGGGTGAATATTTGATAACAAACAAAACATGCACTGCCATTTGAAATGTCAGATCCGACAAGGAGTAGGAGGCACGCTCATAATGCAGAGATGCAGCTACGGGATTCTTCAAAATCTTTCCAGACATAATATCACTTACCACCCAATAGAAAATAGCAGCCTGTGAAGAGCAGAAGCCAGGAAATCTGGGCCAAGAAGCCAATGATCCCACAGATCCAGCCAAAAATAATCAAGATGAGACTGAGTGGCAGCAAGACCATGAAAGCTCGATGCATGTCTGACAAGGGGGGGGGGAACAGTGGCATAGCAAAAGAAGAAAGCAAAATCCTAGAAGTTGAATAAAGGAATATCCATCGGTTAAATTACAAGAATCTTTCCGCCAGAAACATCACTCCTTCTTAAACATCTATCAATTTTTCTCTGAAAGAACAAATACTCCCCTTATGTCCATCCCCAAAAATAAAAACAGTGCCCGCTTCTGGAAATAATCGGTTTTACAAAAGGCTCCATCCTCCTTTCTGAACTCAAGTGTTTTTACAGAGGACAAGTGTGCATTTCAAAATAGGAAGAGCAATATAAAATTTCCTACCACCATCAAGGATGCCGGAGTCACATAAATCTCTCTACTCACAGATAAGATGCTGGAGTGATGCCGGCACCAGCCAACTCTCTGCGCCAAAGGGGTCGATCAGGGGCATACAGGCATTTTGTCCTGGGGAAGCAGTAAAATAAGAAAAGCAACAGACATCTAGCAATGGGGTTCAGGGTGCTGGAATGCTGACCAAGGCAACATCAGCAACAGGCATGCCCTAGTTCAGTAAAAACTTCAAAAAGGCCACAAGTTAGAACTAAACAGTAGCAGTCCAGCTAACATTTGTGCTGAGTGACGGTACTTAGAGGTGCTTTTTTTGTCAAGATCACTAACTTAGTTGATTGTTGACAATTAAATCTCTTTAAAAAGTTAGAGGGTGCAAATCAAGCCCTTTTAGATAGCCCATTGTGCTCTCACTTCTTCCTAGGATAATATCACAGCAGGGGCACGCTTTTCTCATTTCATATCCAGTTGCACGACTTGGAGGAAGATCAAATGGGAAGAATGGGGATGTGTGTCTCTTGGGTGGTTTCAAATCTCTCTCGATGGCGGGCACCCTTTTCTCCTAGCTAAGCAAATAGATAACTGCATACTTGACCCACCTCAACTGCCATAAAAGTTCTTCCCCTCCCCAGATTATGTCATATTGAGAAATGAGGCGTTCATAACAATACCCATCCCTATACTTAGAAGAAGAAGGAGTCTCCATGCTACAGTCAATTGTGACAAAAGGAAGCAAAGCTCAGAAGACAAAGTAAGGCTCTATTTCACAGCCTAATGCAAATACATGCGGACGCTTCGGATCAGCTTTGGGATCCAACATATACCGTGCCATTTCATCGGGAATCCAGTTGACAAGGAGAGATACTAAAAGTCACGCTAGACATCAGAATGAGATACCGGTAGCAAGTACCTTCCCAGCAGTAGGGCTTGCACTTATAAAAAAAATTACATGAAAAATGTGGTGCATTCTTCAGAACTGATGGCTAAAGAAGCAGACAGCAGCCTTTGGCGGCAGCAACACCCGGTTTTTTTTTTTTTTTTTTTCATTGTTGTCTGCTTTGCCCAGGAAATCAGCTTTCTCCTCTTCTCCGAACAATTATTCTCTTAAGCCACTATTTCTAGAGCTTGCAGACCCCAGCTTCTACGGGTACCCAAAAGGCACCGGAATACTGAATCTAGGGATTGGGGGGGGGCATTAATGAGCCCAGGGAAAGCCACAAGAGAGTTAGGAGTCCCCCCCAAACCCTTCGCATTTTTCGTCGAACTGTATCACATTATTCAACTAGCAGAGGAAGCACAAATGTGCTGAGAGGGACGGCGGGAATGAAGGGCGAGCTGAGTTCAACGTCCTGAGACGCTACTCACTCGCCTCAAGCGCTCAGCCTTCAGTAGGGACTGCAGCTCTACCGGTCTTAGGCGGATGCGGTTTTCCCCGCCGCTAAAAGCCGCCGCCTGGATGGATGGATGGATGGATGGATGGATGGATGGATGGATGGATGGAAACGCCACTGATCAATTAGCCACGGAGTCCAGTCCACGCCCGAGAGCGGCATCGGCAGGCAAGGAGCAAGCAAGGCTGCCCCAGCCCTCACCTTCGCAGAGTTGCCAGAGCCCGGAGTGAGAACTCAGTTCCTCGCCATCCCGAGCGCTGCCGTTGCGCCCAGCCCCATCCACGTGGATCAAGTACCAGTAGTCGGTGCCGATGGCCGCAGCCAAGAAGCCGAAGCTGAGTAGCCCATTGAGCGCAGCGGCCAGGCAGAGCGTGCCGGGGGACAGAGCCGCCCCGCACTTCGATACCATGATCCCGCCTCCAGCACGGCGAGAGCAGGAGCCGAGAAGCTGCAGAGAGAGAGAGAGAAAGAGAGCGAGAGCGAGAGCGAGAGAGAGAGAGACGCCCCCTTTTGGGACGCAGCTCTACCTTCTGAGACACCTCTGGGGAGCCCGTGAGAGAGGAGGGTTCCGGAGTCGCCCAGTCAATTGACAACTGGGGCAATTGCGCAGCGGGGGCAATTGCGGCCGGCCTTTGTACTTCAAATTGGGGAACAGTACGAAGAGGCCTCTATGGGCGAAAGGGCAGACCCAGTTTCACCCAGAAGAGAGGCTGTACCACACAACAGCGGAACCAAATCTTGGAAACCCGACTGGATGTTGATTGGCGACGGGATCTCCCCCATTCATTTTTCATTTGCTTCTATCCCATCTAGAAGTATAGTTGAGATTCATACAATACGCTAAAACCTGGAATGGGATGTCCTGGTCAGTTTTTGGGTCTATGCCCCTCAAGATGAGAAGAGTATTAAGAGGGGTTGGGGCTGAGGGGTTCTCTCTCACCCTTAATTCAGAGATACAAAACAGACAACTCCATTATCGTTCTTGGAGTAAAACTGCAAAGTTTGGGAAAAGCATTGTTTCTGTACTTGAATCTTTTCTGATTTGAGCAATAATGCTGCAAGTGACCAAGCAAATGAAATTATTAGTTATAGAAGCATAAGGAAACAGACCAGGATAACAGCAGAAAAAAACTTACTGTTTGAAGTGAAAGCTAACAAGCGCTAAAACATCTCAGAAGTATCCAAAATATTTATAAAGCTTGGGTTCTCAGTTCATACTAAGCCATGGTTTTCTACTGTATTGATTTTGTTTATTGAATTATCCATTTAGTTGGGTTAGTAAACATGGCAAGTCAAAAATAGTTGTCAGACTCAACATATTTAAGCTGCATGTCTCAACTTTCTCCCATCCTCTTGTGTTCATTCCCTATATTCATTTGAAACATCTGCAATAATCATGCTAACCAAATCAAAGATCCTTTAAGTTTTTCCTCAAAACTCATTATTTCTGAGGAGACATTAATCTCCCTGGTTCTTATTATGTTCCAATTGCTCTAATATATCAATAATTGAAGTAAGCACATTTCTCTTTTCCTTTATTTCTGTATGCCTTAGATTACAAGGAAGGGATTCAAGAGGCTTGCAAAATGCCATTCACAAAGGCAATACTATGTCAAATAATGTTAACAACCACCCTGTTTTGCCTTCGTATAGTTAATTTGTTAAGAAACAAAACAACGAAATAGAAAATTTAATATCCTCTTCCATCAATCACTAAACTTTCAATACCAGGCAGTGAATGGATGATTCACTGCCTTTCAGTGGCATCCAGAAACTTGCTATGTGGGGCAGGGATGGGGGTGGGAAGGCTCCACCCTGTCTAGCTGCAGGACTCTCTCATCTGAAAGATGGTTGAAGCCACCCTGTCTTATTAGAAATATCCTGTTGTGGTATTAATTAGTCTAAATGTATCAAGAAATTGCAGTGCCATTGTTTGACTAGTACTGCAGTTGCACTAGGGATCTGTTATGGTTTCACCATTAAGCAAAGAGCATGGTTAACTTTCTAAGAAATTCAGCAATGCTGCCCACTGCAACTCATTGTTGGAGGTCATTAGGAATGCTCTCAACTTTTTAGGAGCATAAAGAATCTTTCCAGGCTGAGACTGTTTGTTAAGCTTCTTAAGCTTTGCGAGAGTGAGAGAAATTTACAGTCTCAAAATGTGAGTAATTTCTGGCCATGCTGGAAATGTTGCATAAGCCTATTGTAGTTAAAAAAATAAAATAAAAATCAACTCTTATTAAACAAAGCCTTACTACATGGCCTGCCTATTGCCTTTTTGTCCATCTCTACCCTGAAAAGTGAATTTTTAAAGAAATAATAGAAGTCAGAGGCTTATTACAAAATAGTTGTTTACCTGCCAGACCTGACAACACCAACTATTCTTGCAATAAAGTTTTTGTATTGCTCAAACAAGGAATGATTTGTTCCAATATAAGTTGTGTGGCTTTCAACTACAATTGGACTGGCTTTTCTCTATAATATTGTTAACTATTAAAGAGCAGAATCCATTTTAAGCTACTGTTATAGAGCAGTTCTTGTTTTGAGGGGCACAATTAAATGGTCAATCACATCATTCAATTCCCAACAGAGACTGGATATTTTAAAATCTAAAAATGAAATAAAATCAGTACTTTAGCTAATTGGCAAGCATCTAAATCCCACATCTATTTTAACCACCATCATTTAAAGAAATTGACACCCTTTCAATTTTTCCTAAATCTTTTAAAAGGCAATCTAGAGTAATACTTTTTACTGAGAAGGAATGAATTACATAATTGTGAATCAACATCACAATTAATCTATGATTTTACCAACATTGCACAACTAGAAGACCTTGAAGTTAATATGGAACCAATTACAATTACTGAAGTTCAGGACAAAATATTGTTATTAAAAATGACAAAGCAGCTGGCTTGGATCAGATATCCACAAAGCTCCTAAAACATGGTGGAGACAGTTTGGTGCAACAGCTCCCTATTTTACTAAGCAACTGTTGGTGCCAGGAATGTGTACCATAATATTGAAGGCAGGGTGGTAATCATTAAAGTTCCAAAAAAAGGGAAGTTCCAAAGAAAGGGAATCTCAGTGATTGCAGTAACTGGAGGGGCATAATGTTGCTATCAGTCCCTGGAAAAGTACTATGCCTTCTGTTGTTCAGGACACTGCAGCATCAAGTGGATGCATATCTGTGAAGAACAACAGGATTCAGGAAAGGACACTCTGGTAAACAACCAGATCCTGACCTTAAGAAATATCCTCTAAAACAGAGTTTTAGAATTTCAATGGAAATCAATGTTATTGACTTCAAAAAGCGGTTGGTCTTGATTCATCAAGAATCACTATGGAATATTGTAAAGTCCTATGGTATTCCTCAATATTTTATCAACATCCTTAAAAACTGTATTATAATTCTAGCTGCTGCGTTCAAACAGAATGTGGCAACATAGCCTTCTTTAACATCAATACAGGAGTAAGACAGGGATGTATATTATTGCCATTCTTGTTTCTCTTCTCCATAGGTTTTGATATGCATAGAGCAACGGATAAAACATCTAAGAGATTTAGATTTGTGGATGACATTGCACTGCTTGGTGAAACAAAGGAGTGCTTGCAAGAAATGATCACCAACAAAATTGGCTTACATATAAATTTTGAGAAGACCAAGTTTATGCAAGTGCTCAGGATATGCCTATAACAGTCAATAGCCAGGCTATAGAAAAAATCCAACAATTTACTTAACTTGGCAGCATTATAATGGAGATACAGATAAGGACATTAATTATATTGACTTGGAATGGCAGCGGCTGTTTCTTTTTTTTCATGTATACTTTATTAATTTTCATAGTAACAGTCTTTAGTATTTAATAAGCAACACGTTGTCTGGGTTTATGTGTTTAACGTTAATAGTACAATTTCTATTCCTACCCTTTATTCCATTTTTCTAACCATTTATAAAATTTTCCCCATGTTTGAAAGTATTTTGAATCTTGCTTCTCCTTCATTTTCATTTCTACAGTCCAAAATTTTCTTAATTATGTCTTCTTCAGATGGTATTTCTTCGTTTTTCCAGTATTGAGCAAATATAATTCTCGCTGCTGTTAATATATGTAATATTAAGCATACACATTTCTTATCATAATTTTCTGAAATTATCCCTAAAAGAAATAATTCCGGTTTATAATCTACATGTGCTCCTATCAGCCACCTATGAATTTTTGACCAATAGTTTTTGCTTTAGGGCAGTGGTTCTCAACCTTTCTATACGGCGACCCCGGTCATAAGGACACGCCCCCATGTGTGGCGCCATGTGGGGGCGCATGCGTGGCGCACCCCTATGCGCGGCGGTGCCCCATGCGCGGCGGCATGTGCGGTGGTGCCCCATGCGCGGCGCCCATGCGCGGCGGCGCCCCCATGCACGGTGGCACCCCCTGAGGGGAAAAAATGGTGGATCACATTGTTTGGCGACCCCCGTAAAATGATCGTTCGACCCCAAATGGGGTCGCGACCCACAGGTTAAGAACCGCTGCTTTAGGGCATGTCCACCAAAGATGTACATGCCTGGATTTTGTCTGCATGTCCAACAATTGCTAGACATATTTTTAAACATTTTTGCTAATTTTGCAGGTGATGAATACCATTTTATATAAATTTTCTTTATAAGTAGCTGCCCTCGTTATTTTATAGTTTCTTTCCCATAGGTTTTGCCATTTTTCTAGCTCTTCATTGTGCCCAAAGTTTTTTGCCCCAAAAACTTTAACTCGTTCATCTTCCATCTTTAAATTTATCAGAAAGCTGTACAGTTTCTTAATCAGTTTGTCATCTGATGACAATAGTATCTGGTCTAACGTTGTCTGGTCTTTGTAAAAACCATATATTTTTGCATCTTTCTCATATATCATTTGCATTTGCAGGGGTAGCCACCATGATAACTCAATGCCCTGTTCTTCCAATTCTTATTTAGTTTAGTTTAGCAGTGGCTGTGTTTCAATGCATGTGCCCAATTTGGTCTATGGCAGCTATAAGTATTACCACAAAGATAAAACTTTTCAAGAGTGTTGTTATACCAACTGCAATATATGCTTGTGAAACATGGAAGTGTACAACCAAGATGATTAAACAATTAAATGTTTTCCAACAATGCTGCTTGAAAAGAATACTTCACATCTCATATCGTGACATCACTAACGAAGAGGTACTATAAAGCTCAGATTTAGAACACCTATCAAGAAGTGTGAATGAATGCCAAATGTGGCTTGTTGGCCACATCTTACATATGCCTAAAGAACAGAATCCAAAAATTGCTCTATGTTGGATACCTTCTGGAAGAAAGAGGAAACGAGGCCGGCCTTGGAAAACTTGGTACCAAACAGTTAAGGGAGATCTTAAGACTATTAATGTCCCTTGGGACAATGCCGAAGATGCTGTGAGTGAGCGAAACCACTGGAAAGCACTTGCTGCCCAGAGTGCTCCACACAGGACCTAATTATGATGATGAATCATCACACTGTTCACCCTACATATCCAGTCAATCTTTCTGCAAACAATACATTTTGAAAGTTAGTTGTGCACCATTTAAATATTTACACTATTGAAAGTTCTGGCATTTAGTTTCATTTGATGATTGCAAGTCATCTAAAGGATAATCTTCTGTTCATTTTCTCTCATAAGCAAAGCAAACTCTACTACATTAGCACGTGATAGGATATTTGGAATCTTTTCTAACATTTCTTTTTAGTTTATACCAGTGAAATATGAAACCTACAAGTCTATACGTGTTTTCTATTGCTCCTATTCTATATTTTTTCTATATTACTATCTTTAGTAATACTGATATAACAAAGTTTTCTTCTTTCAAACATTATTCTGCTTTAATTCCTTTCTCTAGAATTTATTTTGCTTTTTTCTTTTCTATGACTGGTCAGCATGTAGAGTATTTGCAACTATTTCATATTATTTTGTACTTACATTTTTCCTAGCTGTGCCACTATTTTTGTTGTGCTTCTTTTCCTCTGAACTATTCACTACTTTGAAGGAAAAATATCTTCTTTTGTTCAGCTGCTTTTCGGTTTGCTGGCAGTTGCAGCTTCCAAAATGTACATCCCCTCCTATTTCTACCTATACCTGTTTAAAGGTTGCAGCTTTATTGGCAACTCTGCAGTGCTGATGTAGGGAGAAGGCTTAAATAGGAGGTAAAGAACACAACTGCATTTTTTCTAAGCAGCCTATTCTTTTACAGTACCCCTATGAGGATAACTATTCCAAAGAACCAAAGACATAATCAAAATAAAGCACCTTCTTAAGAAAGCAGTTCACCCACTCTTCCCAATTGATCCTACTTCAAGAATGGATCAGGGCTTCATTTAGCACTTGAGAGCAATGTTTGCAGGCAACACTGGGAAAACAACTTTGCTCAGGAAACTATTAAAATATGATAAACATGGTATTTTATAAAAAGGAATATTTATTCATAAACACATCAGAAGGAATTCCATAAGAAATAACTAAAAAAAAACCCTTAAACTTGAACAGCAGACTTTGAGTAATTCAACTTTGCTCAATACCATTTAGACAGTTAAAAAGCCCACATCATCCAATGGCATACACTGTTTATGAACGCAGGTGGTCTATTTCTCCACGGATCAGATTAGCATAGTTCTCCAACTCGATAATTGCCTGATTAACTTCTTTTTCCTTGAAGAAAATTAAAGACATATTCCTATTAATAAATAGGCAGCTCTTGAGTTATAAGAAAAAACTAAACAGGGAATATTATGCTGATGAAGAGAAATGTACCTAAATAATTCTCTTTAGGATAGAAATCAGCCAGTAATAGTCAGGCCTACGCACTGTAGCTAAATTAGGGTATAAAACTATGTAGCCATATGACTCCTACAACATACTAGGCAAAGCAGAGTAATAAGAATCCTAGAAGGAAAGCTGCAATAATTTATGATAGATAAAAACTGAAAGGAGTCTTGTAGCATCTTTTCAGGATAACACGTTTTATTACAGCTTCTTCACCAAATGCATGACTCAGAACAAGGGCAAAGTAACATTAGATCATTTCAATCTCACAGGATACTCCATTAAAGGTGTTAAAGTAGCAATTTTGGAGAAAAGAAATTTTGACAACACTGCTGAATCAGAGATTGCTGAACTCACATATGTCAAAAGGCTTTAAGCTATCTCAGGAGGTCTGGGCAAACAGAATAGACTTTAATATAACACAATTGTTATGCAATAAGGAACTTATAATCTATATCGCATGTAACCTACATCTGAGTAACCTGTCTTCTCCCCACTCCCAATTCCCTGTGTTGTCCCAGTTTAATTCTTATATCAATTTGGCATTTCATGCATCTGATGAGATGTAGCTTGCTCTTTAATAAAATATGTTAATCTAGGCATCGGTTTTCCGATGCAGCCGCCATGGACGTCCGGAAGGTGAGCTCCGTCTTCCGCGTCCAGTTTCGCATTGCTGGGGGACCCTGGAAAGGGTTGAAAGTTGCCCTGTAGGGGCGACCAGCAAGGAGGCGATCCCCGCTTGATCACAGGAGGGCGGTAGCCCTTCCGCTCAATCCGGGGCAGCCCTCCAAACCGGCAGATAAAAGATTGGCCATAGCAATATGGCTTGTCACTAGGCTGTAGACAGCCAAAGTCACACTTATCACCAGGCAATTATAAAGCAGCGCAGACGAGACTGGGTGAGATCTACCTCTCTTAAATCCTAACTACTTTTTCCTGCATAAACTGCCTAAAGTACTTTCCCTCCTGTGGAGAGTGAAAGGAGATTTTATCCCTCCCTCTAGAAACAGCGGCAACTGACTATCCAGGGAAGTTTAAAATGTTACAAGATTCCTAATTGGAATCTTATTTCTTAAAGTTTGTGGACTAAAAGATTTTCTATTCTTACTGAAGATCTGGGTTTCTACTTATAAAAAAGAAACAAAACTGAAAAGATTATAAAAACATTGGATTCAAAAGAAAATTTTAAATTAGGGGCGACATCTTGTGGCTAAACCTGATATTACAATTTGTTATTGCTTAAAAGAGACTTGGCCAGCAGCCCAGACAATAGATAAGACCTATGTAACCTTGAGACATTTGCTGTGAAGCCCAGCTGTGTTCCATACTCAGTTACAAATTTTTTTTTCCTGCATTCTCTGATTGTAAAGCTTTAACCCAGACATGTCAAATACAAGGCCCGCGGGCCGGATGCGGCCCAGATTTGGTCCCCCGGGGCTGTCCCAGAAATGGCAAGGGACCGGCCCCCACTGCCCCAGCCCCAGCCCTGGCCCGCCCCAACCCAGCTGGGCGCCTTGGTGCAAAGAAAACAGCGAGCACTTGAGCACTAGGGCTGGTGGTTTGCAGCAGAGCTGCAGCTCATTTGCATCAGCCCACCCCACCCCTCCCAGCTTAACCCCGTCACGCCCGGCCATGCTTCACTTTGCTGGGCTTCTCCTGTGTTCCAGGCCAGAAAGGGTGAGAAGGAAGAGAAAGCAGGAAAGGTTTCTCTCTCTCTCCTTCCCTCCCTCCCTCCCTCCCTCTCTCTCTCTCTCTCTCTCTCTCTCTCTCTCTCTCTGTGTGTGTGTGTGTGTGTGTGTGTGTGTATGTTTGTATGTGTGTGTGTGTGTGTGTGAGAGAGAGAGAGAGAGGTGGAAGAGGAGGAGGAAACCGAGGTTTACAAAAAAGGAGCACTTCCACCTTTCTCCCCCCTCCTTCTCTTTTTTGTTAACCTGGGGTGTGTATGTAAAAGACACAGAGAGAGAGAGAGAGGGAGGGAGGGAGAGAGAGATAGATTGAGCCAGCAGGGAAGCGAAAGTAGAGAACTTTCGCTTCCCTGCTGGGGAGCTTTGCAGAATAAGCAAACTTACAAAAAGGGGATCTCTCTCTCTCTCTGTCTCACATACACATGCTGGTACACACACACACACACACACACACAAACAGAGGAAGGTGGTGTGCAGGCAGGGAGAGAGCAAACTTGCAGATTAGCTTTGTGGTCTATTCTTGCCTCCTCCCCTCCCTAAAATCCAGGCAATAATAGAATTCTTTGGATTGAATGGGAAGTTAAGAGGAATTGGTGTGAGTTGAAATTAAAAGGCCCCCCAATTATTTTGTCAGAGACAAAAATACTTCCCTTCATCTGCCCTTTTATAATTTAATCCAGCCTTACCTAAACTAATATATTTTGGGTGTTATGAACCACAGTTCCCATCTTCTTGTGGCTATGCTGGCTAGAAATGCAATGCCTTATTTTCTCTGTAGCATGGGCCTAGGAGGCAGTAGGTCTGTGGGATTTAGATGTATTTAAACATTTGTTTCTTCTGCCTAATTTATTAAATCAACATCTAATTTGAAATTAAAGGTTTCTGAGAAATCCAGGGTGGTTTACAAGAAAACTCTCAAAGACAGCTGTTGTAAAACATCATTAGCACTGCTTAAAACAATATTAAAAGTGTGTATTTTAAGAAAGAAAAATAGTAGTAGTAATTTACTTAGTGCTGTTTCACACAAAATGTGTTGTTGTTTTACATGTGCCTGGCTGAACAGTGTGTTTGGAGTTGCCTCTAAACGGGTGACAGTTGCACTGTTCATATTTTCCTTGGGAGAAAGTTTTATAATGGGGGTGCTGTCTCTGAGAAGGCTCTGCTTGTGGCCACTGTTCTATAAACCAAACCAGGGGGACCATCTGGTCTAAATGGATGATAAACATAGATGATTAGGGGGCTGGAGGCTAAAACATATGACAAATGTTTGTGAGAATTGGGTATGTCTAACTTAGTGAAAAGGACTAGGGGTGGTGACATGATAGCAGTGTTCCAATATTTGATGGGCTGCCACAGAGAAGAAGGGGTCAACCTATTTTCCAAAGCATCAGAAGGCAAAAAGTAGATGGAAACTAATCAAGAAGAAAACCAGCCTAGAACTAGGGACTTATGAAAACAACTAACCAGTGAAAAGGCTTGCCTTCAGAAGTTGCGGATGCTCCATCACTGGAGGCTTTTAAGTAGAGATTGGATATTCCATTGTCTGGAATGATATTTGTCCCTTGCTTGAGCAGGAGCTTGGACTAAAGACCTCAAAGGTCTCTTCCAACTCTTATTCTTTGAGAGAAATGCTACCAACTTCTTCCCCTCCCCTCGTCCATTCCTGGGCACAGAGAGAAGGAGGGAGGGAAGGAGGGGAGGGAAACAGGAAGAAAGTAAGGGAAGGAAGGAAGGAGATGGAAATGAGAAGAAGGGAGGCAGGAAAGAAGGGGAGGGAGGAAGGAAGGAAAGAAGGAAAGAAAGGAGAGAAGGGAGGGAGGGAGGGAGGGAGGGAGGAAGGAGATTGGAATAAGAGGGAGGGAGGAAGGGAGGGTCTGAGAAAAGTCCTGCCTTAGCACTTGGCCACCAGCAGCCCTGTTGCCTGTTGCCCTTTTGCCTTCCCCTGGTATTCTCCCATCCTATTGCTGAGGATGCTTTGGTTACAAAGCCAGGTTTCCTCGCATGGAGAACGAGTGGGCCTCCCTCTGACCCACGCACTTTGTCCTCCTGCACCCACCATGAGCAACCTGGCCAAGGAGAATGAGCACAGCAGCAGCAGCGTTGAGGAGGAGGTAAGTGCAGCTGGGCACCCCCTCGGGGAAGTGCAGCTAGGCTAGGCAGGGCTGTGGGGTCCTGGTGCCGTGGGAGCTCAAGGGCCATGCTGGGCACTTGACCTCTGCTGCCCAGGGCTCTGGGCAGTCCATGGCAAGGTCCAGGGGCCCCGTGCACAGCCTTAGGTTCAGTGAGGCTCCTCCAGTGGACCATGCCCTGGCGCTCGCCCCAGTCCCGCCCACCCTTCCCCACCCTCGGATGCGCCCCAGTCCTGCCCAGCCTGACGTGACATCGAGCTGGCCACACCCACCCAGTAGGCCACGCCCATGCCAGCTACACCCACCTGCCCCCCCAATGGCAACCACGATGCTGATGTGGCCCTCAGTGAAATTGAGTTTGACACCCCTGCTTTAACCTAATACACTGCTAAGAAAATATGGATGAAGATCAGGAACAGATTCTCTTTATGTTGAAAGCAATTCATCAAACTATTCTAACAGCTACTGATGAAATAAGAGGTTACAGAAAAGAACAAGATGTCAACCCAGAGATACAAACTCAGACTTTGACTACAATTAAAAAATTAACTACACAGAATATAACAGAAAAAGTGGAACAATTAAATATTATGACAGAAGACTCAACTGAGCAACAAATGCAGTCAATGGAAAATCCAGAAAAGGGACTAACAATATGGAAAAGGGAAAAGACTTTCTACACAAATCAGAAGAAATTTCTGAAGAAATTTGTTGAAATAAGAGAAACTTTGGTTACTAAATTTAAGACCTTTGGAAATTACTAGAAAACAAGAATGTTATATTGTATTATTAATTGGTTGATATAAGATGGTGAGAATTCAAATAGATAAGACATATATCCTGAACATTAGATTTAGTGATGAATTGTGATAAAGGAAATTGGGATTATTTAAAACTTGAAAATTATAAATATTAAATGCTAAATTTAAATATTAATGGGAAACTAAAAATAGGGAAAAACTAATCAGGACATTGATTGTCTAAAAAGATTGAATGTTAAAACAACTAGGATATGTATAAACAAAAATTATTAATAAATGTAAGAAAGCTATTTTTAATTGATATAATAAGAATTGTATTAATTTAAATACGAGACAGTAAATACTAAGAGGAAAAGAAAGGAAATATTTAATGTAATGTTTGAGATCTGTACTAAAGATATTTGTATGTTATTGAATAATTGACCAACTCAGCCGCCACGTTGCTTTTCAAATATTTTAATGTGAAATTAGAAAATCAATAAAATGTTTAAAAAAAAATGTTAATCTGAAAAGATGCTACCAAACTCCTGCAGAGTGATGAGAGCACTCAGGCTAAGTTAATGGTTCCTTGCAAGTTATACTCACAATCAAGTTGCTCATCCTCTCTTTACGAAGTTTCATAAATTCCTGTACTGTCAGGTCACAAATGTCTTTCTGTAGAGCAAGAAATGCACATTTGGGGGAGTGTTTACGGTGCTCTTCCCTAGAAATTTGAAATACAAGTCATAATCATGCAATGGGTTTTTAAAGGCAATTAAAATAATTAGCAAGCATACTACAAGTGAAGGATGCCACCCTAATTTGGATCCCATGCCCCACTGCACACAAACCCTTTGTCCATCAATATACTATTAAACAACTACTTTCCCCCAAACATGTACATATGCCAGATGGGGAAACTCTGCTGTAGGTGCTGTGGGAAAATAACTTGTACCCTGAAGCTAGAAATAGGGCCTTTGGCAGCCAGATTATGGAATTCTTTCTCAGGGTGTGTGCAGCTGCCTTCCTTTCTATCTTATGTCCTATTTCTACATTTGTAGAATAACAATTGCTCTAGGACCAGACTACCTTTTTAAATGAACTATTTTAATTGTTCTTTCAATTCTTTTGGAAAGAATAGAATAAATAACAAACTTCCCGTGGCGCTGTTATAGCCATAAAACATATGTTTATAACTGGATAAAATGTGTAACACTTTTGGGAAAGGCTCGGGCACGCTAACATAAAAAGCTACTATATACGTCAAAGATGGAGTCAGAAAACTGGAACATTTCTCGGGCTCCCTTAGGGGCTGAGAGTCTCTCCCACTGTTCCTGAGGGGCTTCACTTTGGTGCCTCTTGAAAAAAAAATTCCCAAGGGCTGGCTTGCCTTTCTGACTCCTTCGTTTCTGTGGCTAAAAGATAGAAAATAGTGACATACATTTTGTCATGTCTCATTACCCATAATCACGCCTAGCCAGATCTAGAGAAAGATTAATTTCTGCATTCTCCTCTTTAGTCAGATTGATTTCCAAACAGCTTATGTGTTTTCAAAAAGATCAAAAAGTAAAGATACTTTTATACCAGTCTTTTCTGTGTCTTGCCAATTTAGGCTTCTGGTGAAAAGAACAGATATTGCAGATGAATTTAGCATTAGCTGACAGGACATTTATAAATGCTCACAAACATCCCACCAGATATTCTAGAGGTTTCTGGACTGTGCAGGTTCATAGTCAAGATTCCAGGTTCCCATTCTCTTACCTCAATGAAAGGGGGGGGGGGAACTTGAGTGGAAACCCTCTGCTCAAAAATGGAAGCCAGCTGTACTGACTGCAGTATATTAGTTGATCATGTTAACAATTATTGTCAGCCATACAACTAATAATCAGATAGAGGTGTGGAACCTGACTTTGACAAATGGCTTAATTTGTTTGACGTGGCTTTAACAGTACTATGGGAAAGGAGTAGATAACATAATAAATTATTAATATCTAATACTGCAATTCTATATTTGTATAGAATTCTATCATCCTGAATTATACCAACGAAATATAATGTTTTGCAGGATTGCCTAAGTACATTTGTTGAGCTATCTTTCCTAAAATGCATTTGGTATCATTAAAAGTCTTAGGATAACAATTCCAGAGTACTTACATGGGGTCATCATCAGGTTCCCATCCCTCTAATTCTTTACAGCATATAAAACATTGTGCCACATCGGAAGCATTCTCAGTAGGACAGTGAATGAATCCAGCTTCAGCCATCTGAATCGGGAAAGGGGGAAGAGAGCAAGACAAATGAGAAAAAAAATGTTCAACAAAGTTATACATTTCAGCTTATATACAAATTATTTCTGAAACTGGAAGGGCTATAGTTGAAAAATGATTTCACTGAGGGTCTCCTTGATTCTAAGTAACTTTTGACTCTACTCTGTTACAAATATATGAAAAGAGCAGGAAAATAGTAATACTTTTTGTGTACGGTTCCTATCTCAAGTTTCTAAGATTAGCTAATACACACAATCATAAAAAAAAAAATTCAAATAGGAAGCAAGATAAGTAAAATAAATTTAAAAATTTAGGAGCACACTTTTAAATGTCCTATAATAAACAGGTGAGCATTATGATTAGCCTGTATCAATTCTCTGAAATATATAGACCTCTTCACTGAGGTTTATGGACTATAATCAACCACTCTGGTCCAATACAATTGTGAACTAATGCTTTTTGACTTCCTGATTTAGGGGAGAACTAGTGCTTGGATCTCACCATTCCTGATCCTCCATTTTAGCCACTACTGGCTCTCAGATTAACATTAATTAATTATATACGACTATATATTTTAGAATAACAGTCCCCTACCTTTTTGGCACCTGGGATTGATTTTGTGGAAGACATTTTTTCCATGGAAGGGAGGATGGTTTTGCTTTCACTCGCTCACCTGTCACTCACCTCCAGCTGTGCGGACCGGTTCCTAACAGGCCATGGACCAGCACCAGTCCATGGCCTGGGAGTTGGGGACCCCTACTTTAGGCCTATAATTTCTAAAGTGACTCAAAATTGGCTAGTGATTTTAAGTCTATTGCAGTAAAACCAGAAAATAGATTGTGGTTGCTTAAAGACTAATAATATTATATCATAAGCTTTCATATTGTAGATCAGTGGCTCCCAACCTTTTCTATACCGTGCACCCCTAGAACCCTTCTGATATATTCTCGCTCCCCTAACAAAAGTTCGAAATAACGGAAATAAAATTATGCATATGCACTATAATTTTGAAAACCCAAGTTTTTGCACCCCCTGGAATATCATCTTGCACCCCCGATTGGTAATCCCTGCTGTAGATTATGGTCCATTTCATCATGTGCATGCAACCGACAAAGAACTGTCAATGGTAGTAATAGTTTATCGATATTCCTCAACTTATGACAATTGAGCCCAAAATTTTGTTGCTAAGCAAGACAGTTAAGTGAATTTTGCCCCATTTTACCTTTCTTGCCTCAGTTAAGTGAATCACTGTAGTTGTTAAATTAGTAATATAGTTGTTAAGTAAATCTGGCTTCCCCATTGACTTTGCTTATCAGAAGGTCACAAAAGGTGATCATATGATCCTGGGAGACTTTAACAGTCATAAATACACGGCAGTTGCTAAGCATCTGAATTTTGATCATATGACCATAGGGATGCTGCAACGGTCATAAGTGTGAAAAACAGCCATAAGTCACTTTTTTCAGTCACTAAATGAATGGTTGCAAGTCAAGGACTACTTGTATTTGAGAAGGAAATAAGAAATAGGAAGTGTATAGAGCAAGTATTATCAATAATTAGTATTTATTCACAAGAGTGGGGGAAGAGTTTTTCCATTTTAAAAAGTATCAATCTGATTCTTTCTCAAGCATGAATATTTGGAACCAAACCACAGAAAAAAAATTTATAAAATGAATCAATGGATAAATTAACTTCTTTGATTAGAGAAAGCCTCTTATGGATTTTTTATGTACAAATGAAAAAATGTTTGCGACGTTTGATAATTACACAGATTATAGAAAAAAGGGTAATAAGAATAGAGAGATTAAAATATATTTGTACTGATAATTGCTGTTAAAAATATTGGAGAATTTATATTTTTTCCTTTTTCTATTTTTGTTATTTTTTTCTTTTTTTGCACCTGTTGCTATTTAATTTCTCCCCCCCCCCTCATTTTCTATTAGTTTTGCCTTAATTTTCATCTTCTGGTTTAAAAGATTTTATTTTATATATATATATATATATATATATATATATATATATATATATATATATAAAATAAATATATATATATATGTAGGTCTTTGGTTATTCGGGTTTTCTCCCACGTAAAATTGGAAGTGTCTTGGCGACGTTTCAATGAAGTCCCATTCGTCATTTTCAGGCTGGTGTTTTCAGCTTCGTGCTCCTATTTATTAAACATTTAATTGTTTTACCTCCTGGTGCTCATTTTTATCTTTTGAATATGTATACACCCAGGAGACTACGTTCCTCAATTTTTAGGTTAATTTTTAATATATATATATATATGGTAAGTTACCATTTCCGATAGTTCTTATTAGACTCTTTCTGATTCAGACTGAATATGTTTTTATAATTTGCTTATTGATAAGGGATGAGATATAGGAACAAACTTTTTAGCTGAAATATTAGAGAAAGTGTTGAGTTACTGACATTGTTTGTACCTGTCTGGAGGAGGGGGAGTCATCTTTTATATATTTTTGGTTATTTTTTATTTCCTTTTTTTTCTATCTCTGCATTTTTTTCTTTTTTATATTTTTCTTAGTTTGTATTAGTGTTTTATCTCTGTATTTATAAATTTTAATAAAATTATTACAGAGTGATAATTTTGTAGGCAAAACTTCCCCTTCAAGAGCTTTTTGACATGAAAATAGCTAGGTAACTGATTTGTCCATCATAAAAGGACTGTATTCTTCCCATATTAACAGCTGGTTCTTCCTCCAGGGGGGTTGAACCAGGACGCCATAGAAGAGGGTGTCCGGAAGCTAAGGGCATTTTATTCTACTGCGATGTTTTATTTAAATCCTTGTTAGCCATCCAGGGTTGCTTGGCATAGACAAGTGTACAAAGAAAGAGGCTTGCCTTTGCTGCCATTTGTTTGCCAGGCTCAAATCAATTCGCTGATTGGGAGAGACTTAAAGGAATCACAGTTTCACCCAAATGGGCGATCACATCAGTCTGTTGAAGCCTGACTGACCTAGCCTGGAAGTGAGGAAGCACGACACCCGAGAAAAGGAACGCTTTGCAACCTATGGTGCTTTTATTCCCCTTTTTAATAAATAATAATAATAATAATAATAATAATAATAATAATAATAATAATAATGCCTCCTCCTACGTACTCTGTGCGTGGAGCTTGTCATTTGTGAGTAAAGCAGGCTAGGAATCCCTGCAGATGTGCTTGGGAATATTGCCCATTAAACAGAAGAGGGCTCACTTCCATGGAAGAAAAGCGCCCGCCTCCCCCCGAGAGAAGAGGGACACCGCGGCTTGGGAGAAACGAGTCCCTCACCCTGACCGCAGTGCAGGAACAGTCGGAGTCGAAGGGCCACTGGGTAAACGTGGCGAGACGGTTCTCTTTCAGGTACAGCTCGAGGCCCGGAGGGACCTGCAGTTTCGCCTCCCCGAGAGACATGATGGTTGCTGGAGCTTTCAAACCGCAGCGGGAAAGAAAGGGAGGAGGGGGAAGCAAAACGGCTTTCCAAGGCATGATGGGAAATAGGCTGAGCACTGACGTGAAGGATGCCACGCCCCCCCCGCCGAGCGCTGAACATGCTGGGAAGCGTAGTTCTTACGATCGCAACGAGCAAAAACGACATTTGTTTTACAGTTTAAAAAAAAGCGCTTGTATGTCGACAGCATCTTTTAGAAATGCCCCTTTAAAACCTTACTGATTTGTTGTACTATAAGGGCAAAGCAAAACTAGATCTCCAAATTATCGTTTCAAACTAAAAAACGCCGCTTTTTTTGTATTTGGTGCAGTGACGTCCAAGGAAGTAATCTATATACAGAACATTACAATTTAATATAGTTCAGAGAGAGACTGTTTTCTGTTCGTTGCGGCAGTAAGAGCGAAGGTTTGTGTGGCTCCTTAAATATGAACATTTTTGGGGGTAGGTGTTATTCAGCACAGGTCTTGGAATTCCTATGAAAGTACAGTAGATGGCACCACCTTGCTGACTCTGATAAAAAGTTAACCAGGGTTGGGTATGGTTAGTTTATTGGACTAGGAAATCCAATACAGACTAGCGGCTAAGAATTTGAAAAAGGCTATCAAGAAGTCGATCACAAACCATTTTTATGTTGTATTGTGGGCCAGAAAATTATTTGTGGGCCCCTAGTTTGACTTCACCTGGAATCTCAAATTCTTAACACTATTAAACATCATAGAATTAATTTCTGAGTGAATACAATAAACATACATAAGTTCAAAGATTTATTTCCCCTTAGCAATGCTCCCAAAAGGTTTCTTGGTAGATGTCAGATTCAGATAAATCCTCAAGATTCCAAGATTCAGGTGGGATACAAGTGCAAGAATACAAGCTAATTTGAGCGCTAATCCACATGGAGTTCTGTTTCCATCTGTCCTGTTTGCTATCATTTGCTCACTAGAGACTAAAATAGACGTTCTGAAACTTGAGCTGGCCATGAACAAGGAGTGTATAGCAGAGGTGGTGACACTTTGAAAGCTATATGCAACGAAAATTTATTTTGATGTATGCCAATTGATGTACATTCGAAGTGACAATAAAACTATTGTTGTTAATACTATCCATTTGAAATTGCCATAAAAACACAAATCACATCTATTTGTATAAGAAGAACCTCCATTTATGGTTGAACCATCAATCCACCATTTTTACTGCCAATATGGAGAAAAAAGTAGATCTATAGAGAAGGAAGGAAGGAAGGAAGGAAGGAAGGAAGGAAGGAAGGAAGGAAGGAAGGAAGGAAGGAAGGAATTTCTGGTAGAGATGCAGATGCAGTACAAAAACAGATTCAAGAAGCATATCCTTCTGAACCTTCCTAATTGTGCACAGGATCCATCTGAAAGTACTATTAAAACATATCACATCAAGCTAAATAGAGTGTGTTTTAAAAATCTCCCATCCAATTATTTTTAGACAAGAACAGCAGAATTATAGGTAATAATGGAATGAAAATTATTTTGAATGGTGACTATTGCTCATTCTTTGCAAATAGCTGTGATCTGTGCTTTGATAGTGGTCCGGATGGCACTCATATACAAATCATGACTATCCATAAGGAGTCACATGGATCTGATATCTTCCTTTTAAAAATAAAGTTAAAGTAACATTTTACTTTTTTTCAGATTGTATTATTTGCCAGCCAGAATGAGCACAATGTACAGCAAAAATATGTGATATTTAAAGAAAATTACATAAGTAACTCTTTGCCCAGGCTAATTCTTTAAAATTTATTATTTTTTCTTACACTTCCATTGTCCTCTGGTAAACTTGCTCTGAATTGCAGTTTAAAAGGTCCAATTACAAATGTAAATAGTTGCTTGATATTTTTCTTTCTCCCTGTCTTTGTCTTTTATCCAATTGTTGCCAGTTAAACTATTTCTAATCTTTGCTCATATTTAATACATAGTACCAACTATATTTTCGCTAGATGGACTGAGCAGCTGTGTCTTTGCTCTGATCTAGATGCAAAGATTAGCTAAGATTGATCCAGGTGCAAACTAAACTGGAAATTAACTACAGTAATTTCCTAACAAAAATTGATTTGAGGTAGGAGGGAAATGGGCTGGATGATTCATTTCCGTTTTTATGAAGACATATATAGCCCTCAAATGCACAGGGAGCCACAACCCAAAAAGAACAGTTACAACTGAGCTAACTCATAGTTTTACTACTCTGACCATGATGGCTTTATATGCACCCAGAATACCTTATGCAGTTGCTGTTCAAAGGGAAGAAAATATGCCGGCAGTTTGAGACTAAAGCAAAATAAAGAAAAGTGGTAATTGATGCAGCAATTTTGTATTGCTCACAGATTCATTCCCAAGCTGCATCCAGTGGGCCAAGTAATGTACAGCTGTGATAAAGATGAATTCAGGCTCTGGTTTTATTTATTGCTTTCATCTCTTATGCCATAATAGATGTTACAGTGTGAGAGCAGAGGTGGGCTCTTCAAAGTTCCATGTGATATCCCTGGTCTCAGTACATCTGCAGCTGAGGAAAGAAAGAGGCAGAAAGCTCAGTCTTTGTTTGATCTAAAGGAGTTCAGTGGGAAGACAAGAGAGAAAAGGACAGCAGGCAAACCACAATTGTTCTTTTCCTGGCTTCAGCCACTTGAAATCATGTTCAAAATCACCTGGAACACAAAGAATAAGGAAATGTAACTCTTCTCTTATTGCAGGAGTAATAAGTTTCCGTTGAATCAGTTGCCACATTTCTCAGTGAATTTCTGCTTGCAATGGGCCTGTGAGTATAAGATGCTTTGCTGTGTTTTATAAAATGAACTTGACAAACTGCAAAAAAAGAAAAGGTCATGTTGTATTTTGGAGACATGCGCATAATCCATATTGTTGAAAATGGCCTCTTTGAAAGTATTTTGGCTTCCTAATTAGCCTTTCACTGCATCATGAGACAGATGCAAATAGAAAAAGCCCAAATTATTAGCCACATTGGCCTCATGCAGGAATATGTGCAGGTAATTCTAGACTACAATAGCAATTGGATCAGAATTTCCCTTGCCAAACAATGCAGTGATAAAGCATGACCACGTCACTTAATGATGGCACTCTCCGAAGGCAAGGCAACTTCCTGCTGGCTTCTCACAAGCAAAATCAGAGGGGAAGCCAGCAGGAAGTTGCTAGTCACAGACTCTCAGGCAGGTAAGTGGCTGCTGCTTGGTGTGTATGTATGTGTGTGCACCATGCAAGTCAGTGAAGGGTTGTGTAAGATGTGTTGCATGGGGACGGGAGGGTGCATGGAGGTGTAGCCTGTTTGGGTGCACAAGAGTGTGTGAGTGGCTGACACAGAGTGAGCCCGTAGGGGCTGGGGAAGAGTGTGAAGGTGGGGGAGACTTACCGGAGTGACTTGCAATCTTCTCTACTGGCTTCCCCTTTGATTTTCTTGGGAAGCCAGCAGGGAAGGTTGCAAATAGCAATCATGTAATCATGGTGCATTTGGCAACCAGTAATAAATACAAACTTGTTGCCAAGCACACAGATCATGGGGATGCTGGGACAACTAAAACTCTTGGGGACTGGTAGTCACCATCATCCACTAAGACAGTGGTTCTCAACCTGTGGGTCGGGACCCCATTTGGGGTCGAATGACCATTTCATGGGGGTCGCCAAACCACGCTGTCCGCCATTTTTTTCCCTTTTCCCTAGCTGTCCTACTCCCTCTTATTGGTGGCCACACCCACTTGGGGGTCACCACAACATGGGGAACTGTATTATGGGGTCACGGCATTAGAAAGGTTGAGAACCACTGCACTAAGACTAAGTGCTGCTGTAATTTCAAATGGTCCCTGAATAAATAGTCATAAATTGAGAACTACCTGTATGCATTTTGTTCCCTACTAAGGTAGGATCCTTTTGTAGCTCTGCAGTTCTCATGCTTGAGTGTTGTGCAGAAACTTCCCTGCTTATTCCATTTCTAACCATTTCTTCAATCCTTGAAGGCCTGAATCTATCCATAATTTTAATTGATTTCAAAGAGGCATATAGAAACTACAGTACTGTCTTTTTTTCAATTTTGTAAAGTGTTTACTTAATCATCATTACAGTAAAGAAAATTCAACACATCTTAATCATGTGCAGTCATATTTGTTTTCTGTGTACTAATCTTAAAACCTGCTGATTTTTCCATGTTTTTAATCAAAACTTCAATTCCTTTTAAAGGACCCTGTAATGTCAAAATTAAACCATAATCAAAATCTCTCAAGTTAAAGGACTCATTTTTAATTTTCAAACCCATTATATTCTCATCTTGTCTGATGTCTCTGTTCCAACACTTTGAGAACCAAAATAAACAACAAAGGAGACAGAGGACAACCCTATCTTTTCCCCTTTTGAATATCATGTGATTTAGTCAGATCATCATTAATTATAACTCAAGCTTTTTTGAGATGTACCTATGGATTTGATTCTATGAAGAACATTCTCACCAAAAGCCAGATCTTCCATAATTTTAAACAAACAGGATCAGTTTAAATTGTCAAATGTTTTTTTGGCAACTAAGGAAATTAATGCAGTTGCTCCTTATTGTGTTGTGATAAATACGATATTGTTTGTTTGTTTGTTTGTTTTAAATAAATCCACATTGGTCTTCGTGAACAAACTCTTGAGAAGATATTTTTAACTTGTCTGCTAGAATTGATTAAAATATTTTATAGTAATTGTTCAATAAAGAAATTGATCTATAATTTTTTTTGCAAGGTTAGATCTTGTCCTTCTTTTGGCAACAACACAATATTTGCCTCCTTCCAGGATTCAGTATTGCATCACCTTATAAAATGGAATTCCTCATTTTCTGAAACAGTTGCAAAAGTTGATCTTCAAAAACATTTATAATAAGAACTAATAATCTGTCCAGTCCTGGTGCCTTCCCTGTTTTAATCTTTTTTATAGCTACCAATATCTCCAAAGCTGATATAGGAATCTTCACAATTTGCTCTGGGATTATGAAAGTTTTGATAAATGTTGTTCCATCAATTTTTCCTGGCCATTGTGCTTTATACAAATTAGAATAATGTAGATAGTCCTCAATTTGCAACCATTCATTTAGTGATTATTCAAAGTCACAACTGCACTGAAAAAAGTGATTTATGACCATTTTTCACATTTATGACTATTGCAGCATCCCCATGGTCACGTTTAAAATTTGGATGCTTGTCAATTGGCATATATTTATGATGGATGCAGTATCCAAGGGTCAGGTAATCACCTTTTGCAACCTTCTAACAAGCAAAGTCAATGGGGAAGCCAAATTCACTTAACAACCTTGTTAAGTGAAGCTTAACAACTGCAGTGATTCACCTAACAACTGGGGCAAGAAAGGTCATAAGACGGGGCAAAACTCATTTAACAATTATTCCTTCCAACTTATTCCAATAAAATTGAATAATTGAATAGTTTACTGTTTCAGAATGTTTGTTAGGAATACGCAAGATCCTAAGGGAAATCTCCTTTAAAACAATTTCATCCACATTATCAATTTCAATCTTGCCTCAAAATGACATTGCAAAAATCCCCCCATTCTTCTCCTCAAGAAATGTACTAAAATATCTCTTGGCGTTTGTCTTAATGCAGCAAACCCACATGATACACCTTGTCCAGTTCTTCATCAATCCTTTCCTCCCCCAGTTGAACAAATCAGCTAATGCCTAAACAAGCTTTTTTCATATATTCTCAAGGGATCTTCTGGAATAGACCTACACTGCAAACAAAATTCCTTCTGTCTGGGTTCCAGCATAGCCAATTTTTAAAATTCTTTCTGTAGCCCCAAATCCCCAGTTTTCTAAAAAAAAAAAAAAAAAGTCCATCCTGTTATTGATTTGTTTAATTTCCCCTGAATTCTTCTCCAGTTTTTTGTCCAAATTTCAAATTTAACTTCCAGAGATTGTGTCAATCTTTTACTCAAATCATCAAATGTTTCTTTTATCAAAACCAGTGGAATCTGCTCATCTCAGGAATCTTCATCTAGCACCATGTAGTCATGGTCTATAGCACACTCTGCTGGTAGAAAATATAATATTTTCCGTTAATTCAAAAAAGGAAACTCTTTGTTCCTAGAAAAAAAAAGGGTGATAAGGTAAATAAAAAATTTTTAAAAAAGTAATTCTGTCTAAATATTTTTGGTCTCTTTTATTTCCAAATTTTTGTAAATGAAGCAAGTGCCAGTGAGACTTTCTAATGTTTTAATTTAAACACAACTTGAGAAATAACAAAAGCATCCAAAGAACATTTATCTCAGTGGTCCTCAACCTTTATGGCTTGGCAACTCAGGGAGCGGGGGTAGAAAGAAGAACTGGCCCACTAGTCATGCAAGTTGATCTATGCGCATGTGCGTGCTCCAGCCAGTTGCTCACGTGGCCCAGTTTCGAACAAGCTACAGCCCAATAGTGGGCTGTGGCCCTGGGGTTGGGGACCCCTGATTTATCTGATCTCTCTTTCACTTACAGAAAAAAATCCAAAGAAATGAGGAAGGTTGTTTCTAATGACAGTAGTTTTGGTTACATTGCAACTGTGCACTCAATGAACATCCTACTCCCTTGTCATTCAGTTCACAAGCCAACTGAGGAAAACTTTGTTTCTGCAATTTACTCATGAGGAACAATAGTCTAGACTCTAGAAATTGCGTAGTGGATTCCTGGATACTGTCATTTTTACTGCCAAATTTCTTAACCACTATACCTGTGTGAGGAGATAGTTCTCTTGGGAGAGTTTCTCAATGACATCAAAGTGATCTGTGCCTGCTAGGTCTAGCAAGGAGACCTTCCAACCTGCTGTACGAAGAACCTGTGGTAAACAACAGGAATGTGAACAAAATGGCTCCTAGCATTGTAGTTACAAGTGCATTTGCCCTAAGTACCCAACAAGTAGAAAGGCAGAATGTAAATTAAAATAACAGCAACAATAATGATGTAGAGTGGGCAGATTTCAAGGTTGGAGAATAGATATTTAGGAAAAACAAAAACTGGCAAACAAAAAAAACCTCTCTTATGTGGGTGAGGCCTTTTTCAGATCTATTTGTTTATTTGGGGAAGCTGAAGTGGCATAGTGGAAGGGACCCATTTGACAAGTCTTTAGGCATCCCTCTCCAAACAGAAAAAAAATGCTCCAAATATGCATTTTTGGTCTTACATTTAGATATATAAATGTAATAAACATTTTAGATGCACATATGCACTATTACTATTTTGATTTACTCCCTATTGTTCACCAGGTAAACAACAGAATTAAAAGCTGGATAAAAGCAGTTAAAATTATTAGTTATGCCTTTTAAAAGGACTGGCTGAAGAGGATGCAATATCAGTCATACTTGCTTAAGCCTTTATGAAATACAGGTAGTCCTCAACTTAAAACCATTCATTTAGCAACCATTCAAAGTTACAAAGGCACTTATGACGGTTTTTCACACTGTTGCAGCATGGTCATGTGATTAAAATTCAGACAACTTGGCAATTGGCTCATATTTATGACAGTCGCATTGTCCCAGGGTCCTGTAGTCACATTTTGCAACCTTCTGACAAGCGAAGTCAATGGGGAAACTGTTGTATTTTCGGTTTGTTGGCAATTGACAAAGACACATGGTGAAAACAACAAGCTCTTTATTTCTCTCTCTTACAACCAAGCAAACAGCAGACAGAGTCCTTGAGTAGTAGGCCACAGGGACTTGTGTCCCATCAGCCTTCAGATGGCTAAGTACTGCTCCCACCCCATAAGGAGATGCATCGCATGCGATGCAAACAGGCAGTTGCTCATTGAAATGCGCTAAAACAGCATTTGAAGAGAGCAAGGCCTTAACCTCATTGAAACTCCTGTCACGGACTTTAGTCCACTGCCATGGAGCTTACTTGTCTAAGAGCCAGTGTAACAGCTCAGCCACTGTAGCCTTATGTGGAAGGAATGCGTGATAGAAATTTAAAAGCCCCAAGAAAGCTTGCAGCTCACTTTTGGACTTGGGCCTTGGGGCCTGCTGAATCGCTTGAAGCTTGGATTCAGCAGGGTGAATGCCTTGGGCATCAATCCTGAACCCCAAGAAATCAGTGGAAGTGACTCCTATCTCGCATTTATCCTGCTTCAATTTAAGGCCTGCTTTGCGAAAACGAAGCAAGACAGCCCTTAACCTTTCTGCTAAATTTTGAGATGACTCCCCAGCAATGAGGACGTCATCGAAGTAGGGACAGACCCCAGGAATACCATGAAGTGTGCTCTCCATGACACTTTGGAATATGCCAGGGGCTACATTTACCCCAAATTGCAGTCTTTTGACCTTGAAGGCCCCCCTGTGAGTTACAATCGTCTGGGCCTCTGCAGATGCCTCATCAACAGGTAGCTGTTGATAGGCCTGTGCCAGGTCAAGTTTTGCAAAAATGCACCCCCCCGTGAGGGAGGCCAGAATGTGGCTTATAACTGGCACTGGATATGCATGCTGTTGCAACGCTTTATTCAGTGTGCACTTATAGTCTGCACATATACGGACTTCCCCATTAGCCTTCAGAGGAGTTACTATGGGGGTTTCCCATGGATTAGAATCTACAGGTTCTAAAATGCCCTGCTGGAGCAATTTGTCCAGCTCAGCATCTATCTTACTTTTGAGGGCAAAAGGCACCCTTTAGGCTTGACCCTAATGGGCGTGATAGTTGGGTCTAACAGTAGTGCAATGGGAGGCCCCTTGTAGGATCCTAGCTCTGAACTAAACACATCCGTAAACTCCTTGCAAACCTCTGCAAGGCCCAACATTTGCAAGTTGTGCAGCCCAGTTACTTGGATTCCCAGAGCCTCGAACCAATCGAGTCCATAAGACTCATATGTTCACCCCCAACTACCATCACATCCAGGAAACCTTCAAAATCTTTACGCTGTACCTTGAGTGTGGCCTCCCCTTTTACACAGATCTTAGAATTTTGAAAATCAGTGAGTATTAGATTCGATGGCCTGAGTTTAACTCAAAGGCCACTACTGCTGCAAATCCTTTTAAAGGAGTCCAGTGAAATGATTGATAGAGCGGCCCCTATGTCCAGCTCCATCAATAAGGGAACCCTTTGCAACTTCACATTAATGCAAAGTTTTTTCTTAAGGGGCTTGTGTGTCCCTGTCCTTAGAATACTCGTGCCCGATGCGCAGAAACCCACCCTGTGTTGGCTGAGGACCCTGGTACCTTTCTGAAGCAATTCTTCCCGAGGTTGGACCTTCTGGCGACCCAAACAGACGGAGGCAATGTGGCCTTGCCTGCCACACACCCGGCAAATGGTGGAGCAAAACCTGCAGTCAGCTCGCTTGTGACGTCCTCTGCACCCGAAGCACTGAAGAGATGCTGGGGCCTTGTCTGGACGCCCCTTCAGCCTTCTTTCTGCTGGCTGGTGAAGTGTGTCCACCTCCTCTTCAGGATCCGCTTCGGATTCTTCTCAAGCGTCCTCTTGATGGACGGTAGTGGTGGCTGGAGGGTTCCTGGTGAGCCGCAAAGCCTTCACAGCAATGCCTGCTGCTTCTTCAGCTGCCACCTCTCTTAACGCGTCTTGGAAGGAGACATCTTCTTTTGCAAAGATCTTTTGTTGTAGGTCTCTGCTTCTTAAGCCACACACGAAGCGATCGCACAGCCTCTCTTCCAGATCCTTGAACTCACAAGGCCTGGCCGCTTGTCTTAAGGCAGCAATAAAGTCCGCAGCAGATTCACCCAGCCTCTGGTCTCTCTGCTCGAACGCGTGCCTCCAAGCGATAACAGATAATTTCAGCTGGAAATGTTCCTTCAATATCTTCTTCAAGTCAGCATACGATACTGACTCCAGAAGTGCAGGGGCCACCAGATTATCCGCGATGTCAAAAGCTTCCTGTCCACAGGCACACAAAAGAATTGCTGCCTTCAGGCTGTCTTCTCTTATTTGATTTACTCTAAAGTAGTTCTCCACCCGTGCTACGTATGAATTCCATATCTCTGGGTGGGAGACATCAAAATCAGTCAAACGGCCAATCTTCGACATTGTAAGCTTGACGGTCTTCGCTAATTGCCTCCTCTGCAAGCTAAGATTTGGGAAAGGGTCCTTTTGCCGAGCTCACTTCCAGCGACGCTGTACTGGCAGGCTGAGTCACGAATGCAGGACGCCGTCTTCCCGATTGTCAGGACTTCCTTGGTGAGTTCTAATTCTTTTCCTTGCTTGCAGGGATCCCACCTTCGTCGCCAGTGTTGTATTTTCGGTTTGCTGGCAATTGACGAAGACACATGGTGAAAACAACAAGCTCTTTATTTCTCTCTCGTACTACCAAGCAAACAGCAAAAGGCACGCAGGCCTGAAACCCGGACAGTGTGAACCAATAGGAATTGACCATTTGCGCGTCTTGCACATGCGCACAAGGCTGGCACCACTCTGTCTGGTCCCAGGCAGCTTTTGGATTGCCCGGGACCATTTGCAACAATTCTGAGCCTGCTTTCAGCTCTTGCAGGCTCAGGACACAACAGAAACCAGATTCACTTAACAACCATGTGATTAACTTCATAACTGCAGTGGTTCATTTAACAACCGTGGCAAGAAAGGTCATAAAATGGGGCAAAAACTCACTTCACAACTGTCTCACTTAGCAGCAGAAATTTTGGGCTCAATTGCAGTTGTATGTCGAAGACTACCTGCATTTCTGAAGGATCAAAATATTTGCATGTTTGTTCAGGCATGTTTGTTTCTCTACCAAAGGGCACATGCACAGATTTTTTTTTTCTTAACGTCTTTCTCTGGTCATTGAATCCCTACATTTCAAATGGTTGTGTTTGTGTAATCAATATACCTGACAATATTCCTGAGACTGTCTGTGGAACTCAGGTGGGTCGTGCTGGGCTATTGCAATGAGCACCCGGCAAGCTTTCTTGTCATTCACCTTTGTCACACACCACAAAGGACTATTCTCTTGGGCCACTGCACTGAAGAAAGAAAGAAAACACACTATTGAAGTGGGTGGTGAGGAAAAGGAGGCAGACTTTGACCGATGGGCAGGCCTGTGAAGGAGGGGAAAAAAGGCCCTTTCTATGTATAACTCTATTCTGAATGCATTTATCCCACTAGATGCAAATGAGAGAATGAAGTCCGTGGGTTCAAAAAAATCTTGCTTCTTTGGGAATATGTATAGTGTGTTTGGGATACAGTATTTCTGCACATTGGCTGAAAAGGGAATGTGATATGCAAATGGAGGAGACAAGAAGCTAAGCAGCAAGGTATATATGCACACAAACCTAGAGAGCACAGAAGGCAATAGAGAGAAAAGTTCTAAATCAAAGATACTAATCAGAGATTTAAATTACTTAGTCATATACTTGTTTCTCCGTGTACAAATCACTCAGAAAATTAAAGGGCTATTGTACTGGATTATATAAATACTGCAGCTTTAGCTATTCATGTGTATATAATTAGTAGTATTTCCTGAAGTCAGCCTGAAGAATTGGCAATTACAAGAGAATCATTGTAATGTTTCTGCTCTGCCTAAATTAAACAGTTCTAGGAATGTTCCTTACCGGCTCATGTGCAACAGATCATTAACATAGGTGTGTATGATAGGCTCCAAGTCATAAATGCCACTCACCAAAAAGGCACCTGGGGTGAAAAATAAAAATCTACATTGTTTTAAATGGATTCCAGCTTGGTCTAATATTCCGTTATGCATGATGTTCAAGCAAGAGAAACTGAGGAAACAATGAGACAAAAAAAAGTGAGAAAAACAGGATGAATTTCTCCCAGCCAATACCTTTAATGTTTGGCTCAACACCAAATTTTGCCCAATCTGTGGAAAGTATCATGGCTGCCAGGTGGGCTCCTGCCGAATGCCCAAGCAGATAGACACCACTGCAAGAAAAGGAGACATAGTTACAATGAGCAAAGGAGAGGTGCTGACTGGGACAGAGAGGGGGAAATTGGCTGAGGAGTCAATCACTCAACATCTACTAAGCTGAGGCAGGTATCAGTGGAATCCAAGCTTCTCTTTTTCTCAGGGTTGCATGTTTATTACCCATGCAACTTTTTCAGCCATTCTTACCTGATCCCTGTATATTGCTGAACTGCAAAAGCCACACTATGCCGCACCTGTTCAACCATCACCTCCAGTTGGCCTAGGTAGAGAACACAATATCCTGGTTAGTCAGAGGAGAGTAGGGTGAGCAATACACCTGAGCCACCATAAATACCTTTTGGGGCCACATCATAGCCAACTGCAGCAAAGGCAATGCCTTGGTTCACTAGGGGACATGCAGCAAAACCAGAAACTTCTTTGCTAGAAAGAAAGAAAGAATGACAGTTGTTTATACCAGTAGATATTCTCCATCAAAAAGTGTTTCTTCTAGCCAGGGTGCCACCCACTGAAGTCCAGAAATTGTAGGAAGTGGATCACCTCAGCCTCCAAGACAACTCACCTCAAGCTTTGCCAGTAGCCACCATGAATATAGAGGACCAGAGGAAAGGCTGAAATGGGATAACAAGTCACCAAAAGCAACTTATTTATTTATTTATTTATTTATTTATGAGACTTATATACCACTTTAAGTGCAAGCACTCTCTAAGCGGTGTACACCAGTAAGCAATGTATATATATATATTTACATTGCCCCCAACAATCTGGGTCCTCATTTTACCTACCCCGGAAGGATGGAAGGCTTCTTACAACTTCTGTTGTAACTTTCCTCAAACCCCTCTCTGTCTTTGTTCATCTTATCTAAGAGCTGTGGTGGTTAGAATGCAGTATTACAGGCAAACTTTGCTGACTGCCAGCAGTTCGATCCTGACTGGCTCAAGGTTTACTCAGACTTCCACCCTCCTGAGGTTGGTAAAATGAGGAGCCAGATTGTTGGGGACAATATGCTGACTCTTAGAGGGAACTGTAAAGCACTATGAAGTGGTATATAAGCCTAAGTGCTATTGCTATTACTATCTCTCAAACATAGCATCAGCCCTTGCAGGTAGACCAGGTCAAGAAATCATCACCACAATGACTTATGAAGTGTTGGCGAGTATATAATAATAGGAGAAAGCATGACAGAGACTTTCTCTCCCATCCCGTACATCAAAAGAATTAAGATGGAGCAATTTTAAGTTTCTTCCTTACTCCCTCCTCCCTTTCAGGGCTGAGGTTTACCTAACAGCTACATTCTTCAAGGCCATTTCCATACTTATCTATCCACAACCAGTCTTCTAAACTCTTTGTTTTCCTATTTCCCTACCCTATCCCTTTCAGAGCCTCCCATCCACCCTTTGTACTCTTACTTTCAACATGTTTTTTAGGAAGATACACATCCAGTTTCTCTCCCTCACTGGAGCCATAGGGGACATTCAGCAGAGTTTGGGTGAATGCCTGGGCGTTTAGGGTACCTGCAGAGTATTGGAAGAAAATACCAACAAATGTAGCAACCATCCTTCCTAAATATTATTTGGACTGCCCTCCTAGATGTTCCAGATGTCACTGAATCTCCATACAGGCAGTCCACAACTTACAACTATTGGTTAAGTGACTGTTTGAGGTCACCAAGGCATTGAAAAAAGTCACTTATGATAGTTTGCAGCATCCCCATGGTCATGTGCTCAACATCCGGTCACTTGAGAACTGGCATGTGCAGTATCCTGGGGTCATGTGTCATCTTCTGACAAGCAAAATCAATAGGGGAAGCCATATTCACTTAGTAACCATATTACTACCCTAACAACTGCAGTGACTTAATAGCAGCAAGAAAGATCATAAAATGAGGACCCAGATTGTTGGCGGCAATATGCTGACTCTGAAACCACTTAGAGAGGGTTGTGAAGTGGTATATAAGTCTAAATGCTAGTGTCAACTGCTAACATTGGATGCATTGCTTTGACAACAGATAGAAATGCAGCCATTTTTCTCTATTGCTTCTAGAGCTAGTTAACGCTGGGAGGGGGACTGTGGATGAGAGTCCAGCTAGTCATAACAATAATAACTCAGCTGTGGGAACCCAAGGTCATTGGGCCCAGAGTTGATAGAGTTTTGGTGGGCTGGAGAGCTGGGGAGAAAGCCCGCACTTCAAGCTAATTGGGGAATGTGATTTATGACTGTTTATTGGAGGAGGGAATTGTGCTTTGATACTTTGTATCCAGGGAAGGGGAATTTAGTTTTTGGTTTCGACTATGTAGTGCCAATACTTTGTTTCTCAAATAAAAGATTCTTTAAGGTAAACAATGCCTCGAAGTTCTTTTTGAAGAGTTTCATCTGTCGGAACCATGACATTTAGTGCAAAGTGCTAAAATGGGGTAAAACTCACTTAACAACTCTCTTGCTTAACAAGATAAATTTGGGCTCAATTGAGGTCATAAGTCAAGGACAACCTATCATCACAGCTGCTTCCTGGAAAATCAGTGGCTTTTCACTTTGACATAGCTTCAAAGGAAAGAGGTCTCTTCATTTTTTTTTTCAGTCTTGCCCAGCTCTTCCCTGGTATATTTTTCTTTTCATAACAGAGTCCATAAATTTGTATGGCCGATTCATTAGAAATGCCATGCCCCACCAATTTATTTCAATATTTTCCACCTTCTGGGAAAAGCTAAAGGCTGAGCTTTTCAGGGGGGCTTTGGGGAGCTTGTTGCCATCTGTTATGTTTTCAGCTTTCTTTGCCTTATTTATTGTATTTCTTTGTCTTGTGAACAACCAAGATTCCTGTGTTTGCAGCTTCATGCAAATTTGATGAATTAATTTACAAACAAGAGTACACCTGTCACGATATAACCAATCATGGCAATGTAATCCTGTGTTCATAAAAGCATGCATGTTGCCTGTTTTACTGAAGCAGACTCATAGGACATAGTATATTTTGGCAATCCACAGGAACTGGGAGGTCTATAGGAAGGCAGTCTGTCTGCTCACCCCATTATTTTGGCTCTTGGATAGCCCATACCTTCAGTAATTGCTTTCATGTGTGCCTCAATCACAGCATCCTTATCCAGCCTTGGAGACCATCTACTAGGGGAATACTCAGTCTCCAACTCCTGTGTAGAAAAAAAGCCAGGATAACTTGTACAAATGCAATAGCATCAGTACACAATGTGGACAGTTTCAGAAATACTTGTAGTTTGAAATGATGCTAACCTCAAATGATGCTACCTGGGAGAGAGAGGCAAGTGGCTGCCTATATGAATTGCTGCACCTGTAGTCCCACCTGCGTGCACAAAATGCCTTTTTGATTTATTTTCTAGGATTAATTTAGTTAACCTTAGATTTAACAATCTGTGACTGCTTCTCTACATCAGAGAAACATGCACCCTTCTAGTCACGTAGAATTTATCCCCCAGAATTCTCTTAGTCTTAAGACCAATAACATTGATCTAAATACTTGGCTGAATAAATCTCCTTTCTATCATCCCTGCCTCTTCCTGAGTATGAAAACAGCAGTATGTTGCAGGAAAGTTCAGAAGAGGAGGAGACATGGATCTGAGAAGCTCTGAAAAGCAATCAGAGGCGCTCTTTATGCTGCAAAGGCAGTTGCATTGCAGACTGTGATATTCTTTTTTTTATTGAAAATTTATAAGATTTTACAATACAAAAACAAAACAATTTTCCCCATCCCTCCCCAACCCTCCCCTTCCCTCCCCCGATTATCCCAGAGCTGGATATAGGCTTAATTAGAATTTCTTCAAAAAATCTTAAGAAAAATATAAAATATAAATAAATCTAGATACATTACTTAAACAGACTGTGATATTCTTGTCATAAAGGTTGCTGGTTAAACCTTTTGGGCTTCAATTTTGTGCTGGGTATAATTTTTGCAGCAGGGCCCAAGAGCTGTCTCAGGGAGTTCCTCGGGGAGTGAGGGAACTAAACTTTCAAGCGCATAAATAAATCTCTGATTAAGTCATTTCTTAGCCCTTGTTCTAGAGCAAAACACATTGTACTCTCCTCTTTCCATTCTGGAAACTCCCAAATCTTTTTTTTTTTATTGACTCTAAAGTACATCCACATTAAACAAACACTGAAAATCTCTCTTCCCTCCTTTCCACAATCATATACACATAAAAACTACAACTATACCTCTTTTGTCATTTCCTGCCACTTTCCCATAGTAATGGCTAGGTTGTGGCTATATTCCTTCTCCTGATGAATCTGGGCTCAGGGCGAACAAAGTGGTGAGAACATACGATCCAATACAGCCTCTGACGAACAGTGCAGATCAGATCCCGTGTTCCTTCTTGGCCTGTGCTCTTCCAGCTGCTCTGTGAGAGGTCAGCAATTCCTCACCAAGAAGCTGTCCTCATTGGTCATACCAGCATTGGGGCTGCAGAGAAAGCAGTTGTCGTGTTTACTGTAGAACAGAGACACTGAGTAAATTCAGCTCACCGCCTTCCTGCTATTGCAATATCTAAGTGCACAAATTTGGGGGAAGAAATGGTAATGTTAGGCCTGGCAATGCTATCCCTACCCCACCTCAATTTTTCTAGTTTGTCTTAACTTACTGATCTCTGTGCCTCATACATAGATTGTTCTACCATGCCTTCATAAGCATGCTGAAAACAAGTCATTGGAGTTAAATTTTAACCTAGACACGCCGAGAGAAGGCAGTCAACTTCTAAAAATAAAAGGTGTTTTTATTCAGTATATATCCACTTTAGTTTTGACTGCAGCCACACATTGCTAATATAGTCAGAATGTTTTGGTAATGTATCTGTCTTCTGTTTGTTAATCTTAAAACCTGCTAATGTAGCAAATTATTTTATTTTTCCTATTAATGTTACAATTCCCTTTAAAAGATCCTCTAAAACCAGTATCAAATCAAATGCTCTTAACCAAAAATTTCTCTTTTAATCTTTATTCTCACAATTTTCTCATTTTGTCTTATATATTTATTCAATATTTCAATGACTAAAAAAAATAAACAAAAATGAGAGGAGATAATGGACAGACTTCTCTTGTTCCTTTTTATATCCCACAAGATTTGTTAACACTCCATTAACAATTATTTTTGCTTTCTATGTTGTGTACACCAGTCTTACCCATTTAATAAAATTATCTTCAAACTTCCTATCTTCCAAAACATTCCCTTATTTCTCTATTAGGTCTGTCCACTGGGGCTCCCTGGACATGACATAGACTGTCCAAGGGGTTTCACTGAGCTTTCATACAATCCCCTCCTCCTTCTTTTCTTTCTTTTTTTTTTTATTAAAAGTTTTACAATTTTACAATAATATCCCTCTCCCACTACCTCCCACCCCTCCCAAAAACCCTCCCCCCCTCTTCCCAAAGCTGAATACAGGGTTGACTAGAACTAGAAATACAAAACATTTAAACTTAAGTAAACCTGAAACAAAAATTACGTTAAAAAAAAAGAAAAAAAGAAAAAAAATCCTATATATATATATATATATAATAAAAAAGTCCAATATATATATATATAATAAAAAATACTTATTATCTTAAACTTTAAACTTTAAACATAAATTATTCAAAAGCTAAATAATATCTTTTAATATCATACTTATACTGTATAAAATTTATCCATCTTTTCCACACCAAGAGATATTTCTCTTGTGATTGATCTTTCAAATAAGCAGAAATTTTTGCCATTTCAGATAAATAAGAAACTTTAAAAAACATTCCTCCAAAGTAGGCAAAAATTCCTGCTTCCAATATTATCCTATCAACAACCTTGCCGCTGTAATTAGATTTAACATTAAAATAATTTCTTTATCATTACAATCGACAGTAATACCTGACAAAAACAATTGTGGAGTAAATTTTATCCTTCTCTTAAATTTTTTTTGAATATTCCACCATATCTTTATCCAAAAAGCTTTTATACTTTTGCATGACCACCAAATATGGTAATACGTTGCGTCCAAACAACCACATCTCCAACATTTAGGTTGCAAATTTGAATACATACAAGACATCTTTTGTGGATCAAGGTGCCATCTATAAAACATTTTATAAAAATTTTTCCGTAAATTTTGAGCTTGCGTGAATTTAACATTCCTCACCCAAATTATCTCCCATGTTTCTAATAAAACCGGCTCATCAAAATTTTGAGCCCATTTAACCATTTAATCTTTAACTAATTCTGTTTCTGAATCCAACTCCACTAATACATCATAAATTCTTTTTATATGAGATCGACTTTGATCTTTAATTTGTTTCCACAAATTTTCATCCTCTCTAATCAAACCCACTTTATAATCTATCTTCCACCTTTCCAATAATTGTCTATACTGAAACCATGAGTAAATAATATTTTCTTGTGCTAATTCATCTATATGTTTTAATTGCCAATTCTTCCCATCCCAATTAAGTAATTGTTTATAAGAAATACTGCCCATCTTCACTCCTTTCCTTATTCCTTCTATTGCATGCCCCGGGATAGCCCATAATGGAATTCTTGAATCTATTCTACAATATTTCCTCCAAACTCGAAGTAAAGAAATTCTTAAAATATGAGACTTAAAAGCCCTATCCACCTTCTTATTATAAATTAAATAGGCGTGCCATCCATATAATAAATCCCACCCCTCCAAAAGGAGTATATCTACATTTGTTAAATTAATCCAATCACTAACCAGTGTTAAAACCACAGAATCATAATACAATTTGAAATTTGGTACCTTGAGTCCACCTCTCTCTCGTACGTCTTGTATAATTTTAAATTTAACTCTTGGTTTTTTCCCTGCCCAAATAAATTTATTAATCCCTTTCTGCCATTCATCTAAACTTACCTCATTCTTCAAAATAGGTATCGTCCAACGTCTGGTTTTACTGAGGGTGGTACACTGGCAGTTGTAACAATGGTAGTTGAAGGCATGTGAGTTGGTGATAGGTGAGTAGTGATTACGGGTCTAACAGTAGAACTTTTGTCTTCAGAACAAATTGTTTCTTTCTTACTGAGAGTGTCATTTGTAATGTATGCTTCAACTGCAACATTACTAAGAAGAACAGACATTTTTCCAGCAGTTATTGACTTGCTATGGCACAAATATTTTGTATTTAAGTCTGCTTGAATATCACTTCCCTTTTTTACTTCCGTTAGTTCTCCAGATGAATTTGGGAAAAGGGAAGAATCGGTCAAGTTGAATTTGAACCCCAAAGCACTGACTACGTAGAGAGATTTATCTTTATTCTCAAATGTCATATTTAATGAATGTCCTTTGCCAAATCCAACTGTAAGAATTTCTTCAGATGTTAGCTTGTTGCCACAGCTGCTAGCATTCTTTATTACATGAGCATCAGACGGAAGTGTGAAGGTTACGTTCTGTTTACTCTTTGTGTCAAGTTCCACTGTGAACTTCATGGAGAAATTGGCTGATAGACATAGTTTTCCACTTGGATCTTTCACTTGAAATGATGATGATGTTTGTAAAAACCCGAGTAGGGCAGCCACCAGGAGGAAACCCATCGCACTTCGGCCTGCCATGACGGAGCGCTTAGAGGGAGAAGGGAGGACCTGGAAGAAGAGGAGCGCCACACGAAGCTGCGAGCACCCACGGGTCACAGGAGCCGAGACCCAGCGCAGCGCTGAAAAACGACCAGGGGCGCGATCACATGACCTGGGACTTCAGCCCCACCCCCGCCCCTCCGTCGTTATTGCTCTCATTGTCACCTGATACCAATTAAGACCCGCCTCCTTCATTTTTTTTACAGGGGGAGGGGTCTTTTCTTTAACTATAACTATAAAATATACTGGCTGAGATCCAACAGGCATTTCTATTGTTAACATATACATTTAATGCTTGACATAGCCAATCCTCAAAACTTCCATATTTTGCCCAAAATACGACTGCCTTTAATAGGATTTCTTGGCCACTCAAAATAACAATATTGAATCATTCTTTCTTTACTCTTACTCCTGGTTTTACAACATTGCACCCCATGGACTACCTGGCGGAATGTTTAGAGGAGATCCCATCTCCCCTCCATGGCACTTCTTACCCACCATGTTTCCCATGCTAGGACCACAATCTCTTCAAAGTTTAACCAAACCATCTGTTCTACCCCCCTCCAGGGCTTCACATCAACTTATGCTCCAAGCACACCACACTACCCATCAACCTGGCCCCAACACTCAGAGTTATATATCCCAACCACCAAGGCAATGCTTAAGTCCAAATTTTCTTACCTTGGTCCGTGCACAGAATTGCCCAGTTGCAGCACTTCAGTGCCCACTGTATAATTCCCCCAGCACTTTTCTCTTCTTTCTTTCTTTTTCTTAACCTCCGTTCCGGATTCCACAGGCACACAGGACTCACCAATCATTCACAACATAGGACCATTGAACTCAGTGGGACATGTCTTCTCAGTTGGTGCTTGCTCAGTGACTCCTGCAGCTGTCTGGAGAATCCCGGGAGAGCTCCCAAGTTGTGGGATTCGTTGTCTAGTTGAAATAAATAATCACCAGCCAAAACTTCCAAGAGAAAACAATGATAATTTATTTGTACTATACTTTGCAAAGAGGGTGCTCTTTGTGTATGCAAGCACACAGTGGACACACCCCAAATCTTCAATATTCATTCTTTATATTCCCCATTGCAAATTTACAAATTTACCTCCCACCTCTTCTTCATTGGCTTAGTAATCATACTGTAATCATGTCATCACAGCCTATCCAAAGCTCCTAAAGTGAATACATTATCTCTGCCCCTGATTACATCTCCCCTAACCCTAATCCCAACCCCCCCCCCATCCTTATTTACAAATTACCTTTTATGATTGTTAGTTCCTAGGGGTTGTCTCTAAAGTTACTATCATAGCAGTAAATTCTGGTTAAGACTGGTTTTCAGCATAGCGGAGACTTTCCTAGATGCAATTCTCAAGCTTCAAGCTAGGCTCATGAGATTAAAATATATACAATGTATTTCTTTACAGGCTAGCTTGTCTTCTGCAGTTTCTGCAAAAACAATAGACTCTTTTTCCCACATCAGGATTTGAGGTTGAATTTCATGCTTAAATATGGTGTTGGTTGCTTTTTAAAAAAATTGACAATATTTGATCCCTAGCAATGAAAAATCAGAAAATACTTGAGCAACGAAAATATGAATGATTCATGATGCCTGGATCAGGGATGCAGGAGGCCAAGAGGCCAAAAAGTTTTCATCCGAAATGCTAAAACGGATACTGTGTCAAGATTCAGGATTAAATTTCATGCTTAGAAATGTTGTTGGTTGCTTTTTAAAAAATTATCATATTTTGTTCCCAGAAGAAAATTCTGAAAATTGGTGATGCTCGGGTCAGGGATTCAGGAGCCTGAGAGGGTGAAATTTGTTTAAACTGAAATTCTAAAATGGATACCGTGTCAAGATTTGGGTTTGAACTTCATGCTTAAAATTTGTTTTCATTTATTTAAGCTGCCGGCACAAGTGATACCTTTCTGCCAATTAATTCTTCCCAGTTTAGTTGTGACCTTGAATTTCCTGAACGGAAACATCTCTGAATGAGTATGTGCATCCCCTAAAGAAGCAAATGTAAGCATCATGCCACATATCCACAGCCTTCTTCAATCTAATGGTTTCAAAATTTTGTGACAAAAGAAATTGAAATCTCAAGTTATCAGTTATTAGACAATAGGCTGAGGAAGTTGAATGAATATTGCTTTGTGTATGGGATTTTTTTTTCTGTTGGCAAAGCAAGGGAAGGTTAAAAAACCTTCCCTTGCTTTGCCAACAGAAAAAAAAATCCCTTAAAACAAAAGATTTTACAACAAAAGAAGAAGACGCCCAGCTAGAAAAGCAAATAGAACATTAACAGCAATAGATAAGCAAATTCCGGTATATCCTTCTTCCCTTCCCCCTTGCTTGCTTGCTTGCTTCGTAGAACATGTTGGAAGTTCCTTCTAAGTCTTCAGGAATGTCAACAAGTACTTTTAAAGAAAAAAAAAGTGCCGCTTTGTTAGTGATTGGCCGAAAAAAATCTTTTTTTTTCATGATTTGCTGACTGGTGGGAGCCGTCCCGATTGGTCAGACCAAACCGCGCGCGCGCGCCTGAAAAATGCCGCCTTCCGGGGATTCTGCTTTGGAGCGCGGCAATCGGCGGGACGCAGTCGGCACTATGAGTTGCATGATGATGCCGAGAGTGCAGCCAGGATCACCGCACAAGACCCGCGGCCAGATACAGGTACATGACAGGACGATCCACTTTTAAGAGTTTGAAAAGATTACATTATAGTCAAGGATGGAAAATTTTGAAGTCAGGGAAGCGAAGGAGTTCGGTAGAAAATGGGAAAACTGCTGACTACTCATTTTTTCCCCTTCTTATGACAGGTCATCTTTGGACCCATGTTCTCTGGAAAAAGGTATGAAGGCATTAAAAATAGTTAGCACTGGTATCTAGATACTAAGATGACTAGAAAAGAAGAGGGGATCTTCAAGTGAAATAAACTGCTAGGGGAGGGGGGGATTTGCACAGGAGCAAGACAGCCTGCGGGCCTGGTTATATTCAGCTTTCTAGGCCCACGCTTCTCCTTAACTCAGTAACTAGGAATTAAAAGTATGGCTGAAATAATTTTAGCCCTGAAAGCCAACTGGGTAACTTTGGGCCAGTCACTCTCTCTGTCTCACCCACCTCACAGGGTTCTTCTTGTGGGGAAAATTAAGTTATTTGTAAAAATAATAAAGGTGGACTACAAATAAATAAAAATAAATAATAGATTACACTTATATTACAACATATAGAAGAGTAGCACTGTCTTATTCTTTGAAACTTTAGCTAAGAATTCTAGAATTTTAAGCTTTAATATAATTCCAATATCATGTTGAAGGCTGGAATAGGTAGGGGGCAAAAATTTACCATTTCTCTTACAGTATCTAAATTGAAAATGGTATAGGTTTGGTATCTTGAGGGAATGTATTATCCAAGGGCTTAGATGCTCAATTACTTTGAAGTTATGTGACCAGATTATTAAAATTGAGATTTTGTGTTGTGCAAGAAGTTTTGATCCATGATAGAATAAAAAAGATTTTACTTTTTGAGTATTTTAGTTTTTTCTGAGTAGCATTTGTCACAAAAGAATCTTAATTCTTTTTTAGCACTGAACTGATGCGCCGAGTCCGTCGATTTCAAATTGCACAGTATAAATGTCTACTAATCAAGTATGCAAAAGACACACGCTATTGTGTCAATGGAGTCTCCACACATGACAGGTGAAAATATACTATGAGCAATGTAAAACAATAGTTCATCATTTGGAGAAAACACTTTACAGGAATACACTTTTTGGTTCAGGAAAATAGGATTCATGTGTCTTGTAACATTGATTGCTTGTGGGTTTTGTTTTATCATCTTCAAGAAAATGCAATTAGTGGTATTGTCTCAGCATACTATATATCTGACACACTTCTTTGGCCTTAAATATTGTAGAGTGAAGCTTCATGTAAGTCTCAACATAATATGAGCTTTTAGAGAATTAGAAAAAGAATTTACAGATTATGGTAGACAGGCATATATTATTATTACGTATATGAAAAGACACTGTTTCACAAAAATAAGGCAAGTTCATTTCCTTATTTAGTAACTTTCCCAATGATTTTAACTATTATATCTATAAATTACACTTTCACACACAGCTCAATGTTTCTTTACAAACAAAGTAATGGCTCCTGTCACTTTGGAGAGAGGGAACAAAATTGCAAGATTATAAAAGGTTTTGTTAAATGCTAGAGTAATCCAGAGCCCTGCTATGTGCAGTTATGTTTTCATAAAATCATTCTTGTGAGGCAAATCACCCCAAACTCTATGATTCAATCTTATGATTGTAACTGAATACTTTATATAACTTTTGTTCTTCAAATAAGCTAAAATTGTGATTCCCTAATTTATATTGGTTGAGCCTTTCAGAACTTCAAATTTTATTTTTTCACAAAATGTCCACTATTTTCTATGTAAATAGACAATTTCAAAAAGGTAAAGCATTTTTCTACATTTTTTTATTTAAAACTGTATTCACTAAAATATTTGCTAACACATGGTCTTTAGGATTCAAAGAGTTGCTATCTGTCTTAAAGAGGATCTGCAGGTTTTGATATTTGGGAAAATTATCCTTAAATAAATTTTAACGTGCTGCAGATACTTACCTTATAAAAAGAAACTTATGAAAAAGAGAAGCAACCTAGAATTAAGGAGAAATTTCCTGACAAAACAATTAATCAAAAATCGTGGGTGCTCTATTGCTGGAGGTTTTTAAGAAGATCTTGGACAGCCATTTGTCTGAAATAGTGTAAAGTCTCCAGCTTGAGCAGGGGTTGGACTAGAAGACCTTCATGGTCCCTTCTGTTATTCTTTCTGCACAGAAACACCATGGAGGCCATGTCAGCTTGTTGCCTCAAAGATGTCCAGCAGGAGGCTCTGAATTCCACTGTGATTGGCATTGATGAAGGCCAGTTTGTAAGTTTATATTATCTGAATGTTTAAATGAACTGCCAAGTACTGATCATTGTTTCCATGCTTAACAGAGTTTGAAATGTAATTCTATACGCACTTATGTAGGGTAAGACCCATTTTGTTTAATGATATTAACTCTGAGATGTCGGGAAACTGTGACAATGTGATAGATTCTTATATTCTCTTGACTTGATTGTAAATGTGAATGGTTAAAATACAATCTTATGCATGCTTCACCTGGAGAGCAAACCCCAGTAAACTCAGTAGGACTTGGCTCTTAGCAAATGGATAAAATTGTGCTATGAATACCATGTAAATGCTTCTAATGGCATAATCTGAAAGAAATTGAAAATGCAACCAGACTTGGGAGTACAAGTAGAATTTTGGTCAATTCATCTGGGAAAGAGCATCATAGGGTTAAAACACACACACACACACACACACAACCTTCAGAAGAATATAATTTTGCTCTTTTAGGTAGGAAAAAGGTGGATGGGGGTGTAATATAGAAGTGTGCAAATGTATTCTTTTGAATTATAAAACCTAGAAAGTAAGCTGAATGATCGAATTACAACAAATAAAAGGAAATATTTATTTAAAAGGATTAGATCTGTGTATGGGGGAATGACTATATACAATTACCTTTACTACTGGAGAAAGCATATATTCAAAAGTTAATTACTGAAGATCAGTGGGAGGCTTTCCTGTGCTCTTGCTTGTGAGCCTCATAGAAGCATCTAATGCACCAGTAGGTACAGAATGGTGAACTAAATAGACTAGGAGTCTTCAATATTGAGGAATTCTGGGAGTTGAAGTCCACAAGTCTTAAAGTTGCCAAGGTTGAGGACCCCTGAAATAGATCTTCAGCAGCAACATTGTTTTGCTCTTTGGAGGAGCATCACTAATTTTATTCATAACAGTGTCTCTTACACATTACTTTACAAAGTTTCTAAAAGCTGGAATGAGGGAATGATGAACTTTTAATTTTCCCAATTAGTTTCCAGATATAGTTGAATTTTGTGAGACAATGGCCAATGCAGGGAAGACTGTCATTGTGGCAGCCCTTGATGGAACATTTCAGAGGAGGGTAAGTTTCTTTAAATTGTTCATTAGAATTTCTGGATAATTTATGTCCCAGATCTATAAAGGAATTCATGGTTTCATTGCAGGCTTTTGGGAACATCTTACAACTAGTCCCCTTAGCAGAAAGTGTGGTGAAACTTAACGCGGTTTGTATGGAGTGTTTTCATGAGGCCTCTTACACTAAAAGGCTGGGAACAGAGAAAGAGGTAAGACTCCAATAAAAACTCTCCCTTTCTTTAAAGCTATTGACTGTGAGATATATTGCCTGTTATAGGTTGAGTAAAACCTTTTATTTTTAAATTTCATCCTACTAGGTGGAAGTAATAGGAGGGGCAGACAAATATCACTCAGTCTGCCGGGGCTGCTATTTCAAAAACCGACAACACTTGGTATCCGAAAACAAAGAGAACCTACTGGGTGGGAATAAACCCCTGGATATTAATGCCTCCAGGAAAGTCTTGGCTACCCATCAGATCATGCAGTGGAATCCATCGAATTGAACAAAGGAAGCAAGAGATCTGATTCCCAGGTGGATTTAGAGAGACGTTTTTTCTGTCCTTCCTTCTAGCTTTGTATTGTTAAACTGATACCCGTCCAAAACATCAGAGAGAGTTGTTTTTATGAGGAGCAACAAGGCTTGAAGACATTATTAACATGCTATGAATAAGGGTGTTCTATATTGAGAACTGCGCTGGTTTCTTAGTCTCTAGAGGGAAGATTTTGAAATGTCATTAGTGGCATTTCCTCTTGCACAAAACTTCCCCAAACGGTTTAATTCAGAGTTTTAACGGCCATAATAGCTAAATTTACTAACAGCAAGTTGCCCTATGAAACTGAAACATTATTTTTCTGAATCCATCAAATTGGGGCTTGAGGGCAGGGGAATTCTGACTCTATATTCAATAGGTAATTCATTGACAATGAAACAGGCTGTTGGGTTTTAAAGACTGAATAGATTAACTGAACAAAATGTATTTTTATTTGGTGCTGTATATAGTAAAGGTCTGGACTTACAAAGAAAAAGGCCCTTTCTCCAGCCCTTACAATCAATATAATTAATAAAAGCTCTTTAATTGCTATCCAACTTTCCTGGATAGATTGACACCTTACATTATTGACTTAATTATATTCTACTTTTGCTTGTTTAATTTATTAAACTGGCTACTAATGTGTCACTTGTTGTTTAAGTATTATATTCCTGCTTTATACTTTCTCGCATACTATCTAGCATTTTGGTTTTACTGCAGTGATGAGTATCCACACTTCCTCTTTTTGAGTAAATGTAGTCCTTTTACACTGAAAATATCCCCAGTATCTTCTGTTGTCTTAGGAGCAGAAATATTAACTTCTGTAGTAGAAACTGAAGTTTTAATCAATGATATATTGAATAAAATTATCCTTACTTTTAAGTTTTATGTGTAGTACCAGTTCACCTTAAGAATATTTAAGTTAGTGACAAAAACTTTTACTACTGGTTTAAAATGTATTCTAGAGTTACCCACCCACTTTGTTAAAGCCTGTTGATATAACACATTATATTGCCCTAACAAGTAAATCATTAATCAGGAAATGGCTATTTGTATGACATTCAGTAAAGGGAAATTACAGCTGAAAATGCTAAGATTGTTTTCTCTGGGAAGCTTAAAAATAATTACTACCAATAATCCTACCCTAGTTATTCCTAAACAGTACAAATGATCTTCACATAAGATATATAATTTTTTTTCAGACAAAAAGCAGGCAATAAAGGCTAGCCTAAAAGGGTTCATGCTTTTTAAATGATCCAGTGCTGTCCCTTTGTTAGACAACAATACACCCTTGCCCAGTTATTAATCCCTCTGTAAATTATTTTCCTCTCCCCTAAAATTATACGATACATGAAAATCCACAATATGTTCTAAGGGATGCGTACAATCCAACTTCTACTATGGCAAAAGATTTAAAACTCTTCAAAGCCCCAAGATTGCAATATTTGCCTGAAGTTTCTCAAAACATGCAATTAGAAAAGAGCAGTGTTAACAGCCACCGGCTAGGGATACAAAAAAGCCATTATCTCACAAAGACTTGTTAATGAAGATGTATAAAAACATTGTGTGCAGAATAGCCATTTTTAGCTGGTCTATGCCTGAACTAAAATACATCAATTTTGAATGATAATCGTCTGTATAAAGACTAAAATGGGGCCCCTTTTGTTCCAGTGGTAGACGGAAACACAGATGGTTTGAGATAGGGCAAGAGTGGTACCACATGCAGAGAGTGGCAGTCACAGCAGGGAGGAAAAGAAGGCACTGTGGAAGTGGGGATAGGCACTGCTGTGCTTTTGGGGCAGGGACCGTGCTGGGACGATCGGAAAGTGAGGCAATGGGATATGCTGTGCTTTGGCGCTAGCTGTGGTTGAAGGCAATATGCCTATTCTAGTCACCAGAAAAATCCGCTGATTTGAGTTTGATCAAAAGAGAGTACTGCAGTTGTTGTTTTTGAGCTTCTAGAATACAGAGTTCAAAGCAGTGACTTTCCACTTCATGCATATTCCTATTTGTGTATTCCTTTCCTTTAACAACTTTTCAGGAAAGGTTAGGAGAATAAACTGCAAGAGTGAGTTTACCTTTGGTACATTATTGAACTGAAGTTGAAACTCAAATACTTTGGCCACCTAATGAGAAGGAAGGACTCACTGGAGAAGGGCCTAATGCTGGGAAAGATTGAGAGCAATAGAAGAAGGGGACGACAGAGAATGAGATGGCTGGATGGAGTCACTGAAGCAGTAGGTGTGAACTTAAATGGACTCCAGAAGATGGTAGAAGACAGGAAGACCTGGAGGAACATTGTCCATGGGGTCGCGATGGGTCGGACATGACTTTGCAATTAACAACAACAACATTATTGAAAACCTGTGGGCCTCTATAGAATACTTAAAACAGGTGTCAATTCTCCATGGAGTCGAGTCCTTCCCACTTTAAACCAAAGAAAATGTATGCTATAGTAAATTCAGTTGAATCACCACTGCAATACGTCTAAAGCTTTATCTAGAAATGCTTTTAATTGGTTTGGGTATCAGCAGCTGAAACGATAGAAAGCAGTGCGCAGTCTGGAAGGGCAGCACCACAGAGCCACAGGAACACCAGACCCATTGGAAGTCTAGAATGGTCAAGATGCGCAAGCACACCAAGGCACAGATGTAACCGCATTGGGGCAGGATAGCTGTGGCAAGGATCCCACTGGGGCACATCCAGTGGAAGTACAGTGTTCCTCTGCGGCAGAATGTCTCTGGCTATTTCCAGCAAGCAGCTTAGTTAGCTGCAGCAATAATAAAATCAAGTAGTCAATACCATTTCAGCAATTAATATTCCTTGCAAGTCACACAGCAAGCTTCCTGTGCCCGCAAAAGAAACATCATTTTCTGCAAGATGCGAGTTTTGAAAATAGTACAATATCCCAGAACCCAATACATATACATGCGCAACCCACAATCTTGGTTATGGCACCCTCACAATTTCACAGTAGACATAGTTCCCACCTCAAGAAAGGAATACATAGCACTAGGAAACTATCCCTGCCAGCTGCTTTGAACAGTGTTAGTAGCAATCAATACACAGGTGGAGGCTGGTAGCCCTCAGAGTTCTCTGGAGTGTGAGTGAAGGGTGGCTGCTGGTAGCTCTCATGACTGACATTGGGGTAACTGGAGTATGGAGGTGTTGGGCCTGGAGCTGGGTCGATGTAACTCTGGTCAAAATCTTGGACACCCATACGGTAACGCTGAAGGGCGAAGGCAATCAGGAGACCCTAGGGAGAGGAACAGTTATTTGCAATAGTAGGAATCTTCCCCTAAAGATTTGCTTGCCAGAGAAGAGATATCCTCTGCAAAACTCAGCACAGTATTCAGTGAATATGCCATCAATTTAATTTAATCACACTGCAGTTTAAATGAAAAAGTTACTTTTCGTCAAGTCAATTCTATTGTAAAAGGCACCTGGATGCATTTCCCTGGAATTCCTTCCACAAAGGTTTTTACAGCCTTTCTATAAAAGATAATAACTTTCATGTTCCTCGGGCAATTAGAAGGCTGTGTTAATGACAATGAGATTTGGATCAGTTATTCTCTGGTTCTGTGCTCAGGTCCCTTTAATGAAATAGCAAAGGAATCACCAATTTCATATCCTGTTTGCTAACCAGGCAAAATAAACCTTAAAGCTACTTGACCTTCCTAGGCTGATAATATTCATCCGTGGGAGACAGGGGAAGAAACTCTTACCCATGAAAAAATGGAGAAGAAACTGAAGGCAATCGATGCACGGGCAGAATCAATCCCAATTGTTACATCTTCAGCCTTTGTTGATGACCATTGGTTTGCCAGCACACAGAATCCAATAAACCACAAAAAGGTCCAAACAGCTAGACAGAAGACAAGGGAGCACTTAATCACATCCTTACAGATTAAATGATAGCATAGAAGTAACATTTTAACTATAGTTATAAAAAGTTACAGTACATTAATCCTATTCTGACATTCTTTTGGGGGGAGTTCAAGTCAGCATTTGCCACATTAGACAAATGGTCTAGAGCAGGGCTTTTCAATCTTTTCACCCATTGTACCACTTTTAGGCTATGGTAATATCCAAATACCACCAGTCGCCCAGTAAGGTGTCAAAAACTTGATGACCAAAAAAAAAAAAAAAAAAAGGAAAAACGTGATAAAGTACAGGTAGTCCTCGACTTACAACAGTTCACTTAGTGACTGTTCAAGTTACAATGGCACTGAAAAAAGTGCTCCCCAAGCCACAGCCAAGCAAGACACCTGCCTGCCTGCCTGCCTAGCAGCGCTCTTCCTCCTGTCCAAGGTTTTCATTGTTGTGAGCATTTCTGTTGAGGATTGGCAGTGGGGGTGGAGGGGTATTTGGTTTTTATTCCCCCCGTCTGCTGGGTGGTTGCAGCAGATTTTGGTCACTTCACATGACCCTGGGACACTGCGACCGTCATAAATATGAATCAGTTGCCAAGCATCTGAATGTAAATCACAAGACCCTGGAGAGGCTGCAACATTCCAGCTGATCGGCGCTTCTTCTGGGCTCAGCAGAAGCGCCAGGATCAGTGCTGCTTTACAGCTGATTGATGCTTCTTCAGAACTCAGCAGAAGCACCAGGATCAGTGCCGAACTCCAGCTGGAGCCTGGCGCTGATTCTGGCGCTTCCACTGAGCCCTGATAGCCCTGATAGCCCTGCAGCTCCAGCCATCTCTCGCTCAGGCTTGTGCGGTGCTGCCACCGGTTCAGCTCATTCCCCTCCTCCGCTATCACTTTTCTAGGATGGTCATGTACCACCTGTCATGTGCCAATGTACCACAGGTGGTACCCATGCCACTGGTTGAAAAGCCCTGCTCTAGAGCAGCAGCTCCCAACCTTTTGGGCGCTAGGGACTGGTTCTGTGGAGGGTGGTTTTTTCGTGGATCAGGGTGTGTGGTTTCACATACTCTGGATCCCATGTGTGTGCAGATGGGACTTCACTCACTTGCGTAGCCCGATTCCTGGCAGGCCGTGAACCAATGCCAGTCTATGGGCTGGGGACCCCTGGTCTAGAGCATGGGCAGGCTTCATTCTAACTCCATGATACGCATTAGGCAATCTGATACCCTTCAAACACTTTGAACAATATCCCAGTATTCTTGATCATTGTCAATGATGGCAGAGACTGATGCAGCATTGAAAAAGGAAATTTCTGACCAGTCCCTGATGTTATAGCCATTGCAGCGTTGCCATGGTCACATGATCACAATTTGGGTGCTTGGCAACCCGCATTTATGATGGTTGCACCACTCCACAGTCAGACAATTGCTATTTGCAATCCTCACAGCCAACTTCCAACAAGCAAAATCAATGGGGAAGCCAGCAGGAAGTCACAAATCATAGTCAAATGACATTGCACTTAACTGTGGGTTATGTGCTTCACAATTGCAATCACATAACTTTGCTTAGTGATGGAACTGCAGATCCCAGTTGCAGTCGGTAAGTGAAGACTACCAATAGTGATTTTTTTTTATTCAGAGCATAAGGCTTAAACCAGAGAACATGCTCCAATTCTATGATCTCTTATCCTTCAGCAGTTATCCACATTAAGAATCACCCAGAATAAGGTCCTATCCCTAAAGCCACTTTGCCCTTTCACAAAGCAAACCTTAAAAGAGCATCATTCCAAAGAAATCTGAATAATTACATTCAAGCACAGGGGAATAGGAGCCAAAAGGGAAAATGCTGTCCAAGTCTGGAAGAGAGGGAAGAGAAAAAAGAACATGGACAGAACTCAGCTGTTTCCCCCAGGGACCTGTTTGAGTTCACATCTCCCAGAAACATACCTGAGAAGGCTAGGTCGGCCATAACGAGGTACTTGCGATCAGTGGCACTGCTAATCTGGGGAAAGTAGACGTCAACCATAAAGAAAAATATACTAGCCAGGAAGGCAACCACACCAATGCCGATACCATAACGACAGGTATCCTCACTACGATTAAAGATGCAGTGGAGTTCAGTGTGGTGGGGATCATTGCTGTAACCTTCTCCAATGATGCAGGAGAAAACAATGAGTGCAAATACCTGCAAAATAATAGAAGGGGAAAAGGTCAATGCTAACATTTCCCAAGGCAACAGGGAAAGCCCATTTTAACCATTTATCAAATTACTAACAGATTCCCCCAAGTTCTGAACTCGAATACTCCTGCATGGCGCTATTCTAGGGCAAGAAGCCAACTTGCAATATAGGCACATTTTATTGGTATACTGCCCAACATTATCATAAATTAAAGCTGTGACAAAAAGGAGTAATAAGAAATTAAAACAAAGTATGGTCCAACCATAAAACTCCATAATCAGCTAGCTCTGCTATTCAGGCAAAAGCCCTGCCCGAGAGGAATTCCCCATCCACTGTTCACAGAAATGTTCCCACTTTTCCCTCCACAAACACAAAAAAACTTTTTCTGAAAAGATTTCCTGGTTCCCGATAATGAAATGGAATTGAAATAGGCTCCCAAGCGACAAACTAAATGCTCATCACCGGTAATCAAGCACCCCCTCAAACCAGATGCCTCTCAAACCAAATCAGCATAGCAGCCTTCTTGTGTTCACGCATGACTTGCTTGGGCTGTACTAAAATTTTTGAAGAAAATTAGAGAAACTTCTAAAACGTTGTTGTTGTTTTTTTTAAGCCACAGAATAAATTACTTCAAATCTTTAAATTTCCCAGGATTTCAGGCCACCCACTCAGGCTTCGCCCTTAAAAGAAAGTAAGAGTACAGGAGAGTCACCAAGACGGCTGCAAGCTACTTCCGTGTTTTGGCCAAGAAAACCAGAGAGACGAGTCGAGCTCGACTTGAATGGGTCTTTGTCTAGGGCAGGGGTAGGCAACCTCGGCTCTTTTATGGCTCATGGACTTCAACTCCCAGAATTCCCGAGTCAGCTGCTGACTCGAGAATTCTGGGAGTTGAAGTCCATGAGTCAAATGTTGCCTATCCCTGGTCTAGGGGGTGCCTGGACTTATTTCCCTAAGTCTTGCAGTAGCTGCCGGCGCGCGGGGCATTGCCACGTTCTTCGCCAAGGCAGGGCTGGGTGCTTCAAAGCAAGGGAGAGCGGAGCCATGGCCGTGCTCATTTGCTGGTCCTATTCTCGTTAAGACTGCAAGGAAGCCAGCCCCTCGCGCCGCCCGCGGTCCATCAGCTGACCTCCCTATGACTAGGCTGCCGTACAAACAACACTCGGATACAAACGGAGGGATTTTAATCCGGCCGAACTGACACAAAGCTAATCTGAAGCAAAGCACCGACCCTCCGTCGCCTCAACGACCTGAAGGGGGGGGTCCTGCCCGGCGAGCGTCAAAACACCCGCGTCTGGTCTGCAAAGCAAAAGGCAAGAACTGATCCCAGCCCGGCCTGAAACTCAACTTTCCCAAGCGGCCCGGCGTCGCGGGCATTTTAGAGAAGCGAAACACCGAAGGGAGAATTTTCTAGCATTCGCCCTGGAATAAGGCAATAATCCCTCTCCGGGGGGGGGGGAACAGCCTGGCCGTTCCTCCAGCTGGGGTTCCAGCAGGGGCCTCCGCCCGCTCTAACAGCGTTGCGTGACTCTGCATTGCTCCGCTCAGGCGACTTTCCCTTCTAGGTAGGGGTCCCAGGCCAGGTACGCGATAGTAAGCAGAAGCTCCTCTAGTGGCCCCACCTCAGCTGCTGCCGGAACCCCTAACCTACCGGCACTCCGGCCACGTCACGTGCCCTCGTCCACACCCTAGCCGAGGGCAGGTGAGAGCACCCATTCCACGCGTGCCCGCGAGGGGGACGGAAAAGAGAAGAAGCGAATCCGTCTCCAGCAAGCTCGAGCCCCTGGTCGTTTCAAGCTTGGCCGGGCCGGGCCAACCTCCGCCACTCACCGCACTGAAAATGCGCGCAATGACCTGTGGCTGCTGCAAGAAATGCCACAGGTCGAACGTGCCTCCCGCTTTAGCGGCTCCGTAGGCGCCTCCGCCACTCTCCATAACTCTCTGACGCTGCTTTCCGCCACCGTCCCAGCCCGGAACTCCCTCTGGCCGCCTCGCCCAAACTTGTGTTGAGCGTTCACAAGCCCCGCCTCTTGGGAGGAGACCCTGCCCGGGACGGCGGAGGCAAGGTAGAGCGCGTGGTGGCTGAGAGAGACCGAAATCGAGGCTTGCGCTCCTGCTCCCCTCGAAGCGGTTCGTCGCCGCCTTCTCCCTTTTTACTAAGAAAGGATGTGGCTTTACCTGTTATAATGCACTTTCGAGCTGTGATTCAGATTTAGACGTTTTCGGAAATGTGATGATGCCACGCAAGTCTGGTGGGGGGGGGGAAGGGGAACAATACAAAGGGGGGGGGGGAAATGGTTTTCATTCAATCTCCTGAATTCAGGCAAATTTCTAACCGGCACATAGGAAAGTATAATCGCTATAGCAGCCACTATTCAACTATCGGAGAAAGCAAAATATCCATTGGCGTAACATTAAGCACACTTATTAAAACATTTTTTTTAAAAAAATCTGAATTTAATGTATTGCTCACTGGTAGCCCTGCTCTGCAAGATGCACAATTCGCCAGCTGGTTTCTAGATGGAATTTAAGATAGCAACTATTACCTATAAAGCCCTAGATAGCACATAGGGCTACTATTTGAAGGACCATCTGCCTCATGATTTCTGTCCATCCTGTATGATCTGGCAGGGTGGACATGCTCCGAAGCCCCTCCATTAAACAGTGACATCTTCTGAAGCTGGGAAATGTGCTTTGTCTGAATGGTACCTCCCTTCAAGATCCCTGCAGTTCCCACCCTGAAGAGGTCCTGGAAGGCCTTGAAAAGCCTATAGGAGGATGGGTAGGATTCCCCTGCTTGTGACATTTTATGTTGGCTTTGTTGTTTAGGTTGCCCTCACATAATTATTTTGTAGTTAACTTTTGTGCTACTCTGTTAATTTTTTGTATATTGTTTTTATATTATTCTGTTGTGAGCCGCTTAGAGGCAGTTGGAGTTGAGCAGCACCCATATTGAATAAATTAAATATGTTCTATAAATTGCCTGTTATATTGAAGAAACAGCAATCAGGATACAGGTTGAGAATAGTTCCTCTTTCTCTGAAGGGTATACTATGTTCACGGTTGGAGAATTTTCAGCAAAACCTATCAGGGTCTGAATGACATATTTCGGATCAAGGCCTTAGATTAGAACATGGGCTCCCTTTATGAAAAAAGAAAGACTGAATAAATGTTCTTTAATGTTAAATGCAACAAAGGGAAAATACTGGGCACATAGCAAGTAGTTTAATCCTGAGCAATTGTAGCACCTTTAATCTCATGAGATACATTTATCCTGATTTCTAGTGTTATCTAATCTGAAATACACCGATTGTTCCAGACTTCGTAGAAGTGGTTGATTCATTTGAACTATTTATGGCCTTCCCTCACTTGCATCCAATCCTCACAAACATGCCCTGGCATATTTTTTCTGCCCCGTTCCTATGGCCTTCATCGTGGCTCTTTTTCATGAGTCACTCTTAGATGTACCAGTATTGAAACAATGTTCTCTTTACCAAGGATACTGCTGAAGGCCACCTTGAGGTATATAAAAGCTGTTAGTCCTTGGTTCTCATCACCTAAGAGGGAAATCGGGGGCCTGCAGTGACTTGAAATGGAAGTATCAGAGGCAAAATAAGAATCAGCAGTGACTTGAAATGGAAGTATCAGAGGCAAAATAAGAATCATCAATGAAGACAGCAAATTTAAATGTTTTTTTCTATTCCCACCAACTCAATAGCAGGGAAAAATCCTGAGTCATGTTGAAATCAGTTTAGAGTGCAGGATTTTAGATCCATTATGATGGTGCAGGAGTAAAAATCTAATACCTGTGATTCATTAAATAAAACACACGACTTTGTGTTATGTGTGTCATAAATATGATGCAGTGGATCAAAGAGTTGGTCTGTGCTCTGGTCAATAAGGTTTTCCCGCCTCATGTTTAGATCAGGGCCATTTTCTACCTTCCCTAATTCAGATGTATTATTTTGTGGGTTCTGCTCTCCTCAGAAGAAAATATATTTTCTTGCTTGATCATCCTGTAGCTCTCCTACCAGCTTCTCCTACATTTCTTTTTTTCAGGGATTTTTTACACCAGGTTTAGGGGAATTCCATCAGAACTGTACTTTCTTCACTAAATATCCCTTTTCCTAGGCACACAAAATTCACATTAACAAGAAAAAAATGAACCACTAAACCATTATATTAAATAATATCAAAACATCTTCCCATCATAGGTATCATCAATTCCACAGTGGATATTAATGCATCTCATCCAACATCCTTCTGCAAAATTACCAGGATTGTTCACTTACATGTTGTCTCTTGAATCTGTAATGCTTTGTCTATTTGCCTGTGTCTGAGAAATGTAAACCGCAAAGACAATGCTGAGAGAGAGAAACAAGAAACTGTCAAGCTGATGCCAGTAGTTCCTGTATTCTTACTTTTTACTTCCCTCACTGAATAGATGATGAAAAGGGAGTATTAATTGAAGGATATCAGCATGAAAAAAAACAAATTTTCAAGATGCTCAAGACTGAATTGTGAAAAAGGCAGCTGGTGTTAGAGAATTTGCAGTTATATAACTTAAAAAAAAAAAAACCCAGACCTGCTCACCAGTTGCAGCTCAGCAAGGTAGAACCATGCCCTGACAACACAAATCATCTTCCTTAGCCCATGATACGGCCCTGTGCATGAATGGTGGCGTTGTTATGTGTACTGGTAAAAAGGCCAATGATATCCCATCAAATGTTACGGTACAGGTAGTCCTCGACTTACAACCATTCATTTATTGACTCTTCAAAGTTACAACGGCACTAAAAAAGTGGTTTATATCCATTGTTCACACATAGGTCCCTTGCAGAATCCCCGTGGTCACATGATCAAAATTCAGAAGCTTGGCAGCTGGCATGCATTTATGATGCCTGCTTTTTTGCGACTGCCATATAATCCCAGAAAAGACATGGCTATATTGAAGAGTCACCTATAGGTTTTACATTCGCACATTTCACACTCTTCAGAGCACCATTTTGGAACTCAATCCAAAGTACTGTGTAGATCTACATATTAGTTACTGTAGAAGAGCATTTTCCTATCTGGTTGCAAAGTAGAATCTGGGGGGGGGGAATATTGCTATTTTAAAGACTTGTAAATCTTCTTTGTATCTGAACACCCAGATCCCTTTGGTAATAATGATAATCTCTCTGATTTGTTAAATTTATTTTATATACCAGATTTATATATTGTCCAATAGCTGGAGAGAGAGAGAGAGAGAGAGGGAGGGAGGGAGGGAGGGAGGAGAATGCCTGGGCATCATGAAAACCAAGAGAATTGGGTTGAATCCATAATCCAGATCACCTTTAAAAGACACACATTGACCCTTTTTTATTTAGTATTTATGGCAGGTGGACATACAGCAAAGCAACAGCAGAAATGGCTATACATCTGCCTTGATTCATTTGAGTACTGTATTTGAACTACTACAGTACTTTAAACATTAAATTATGTGGTCCTGGAACATCCTGTTTGCAAGTTACTGAGCCAATGCAGTAGTTGGATATTTAGTGCAGTATTTCTCAACCTTTCCCCTAAGATGTATTGATGACCAATCCCAAAATTCCCCAGCCAGAATTCCAGGTGTTGAAGTCCACACATCTTAAAATGGCCAGGATTGAGAAACACCAGCTTAGCCTCTAGCCAGGAATGAGAAAAAAATGCATACAGGGAGTATCTTAACAACTGCAGCAAATTAGGTCTCCATCTTTGTAAACAACACATAGCAAGGCACGGGTTTCTGTCACTTTCTCACAGAAAGCATATACTCTAATCCTCTACAAAATTCCTGATACTGAATGTTAGGAAAATTAAGAAAGAGATCAAAAAAGAACTCCAAAACATAATTGTTAATTTGAGATTTGACATTGGGGTGCCAGGTACTGCTCCAGTGGCCACATCTGATAAATAATATTTCCTATATACTGAAGCTTTAGAAAAGGACATCAAAAATGATCAAGAAGCTGAAGCAACTTGCCTAATTGAAAATGATACAATCTTTCAGGCCTTCAGTTTAGAAAAAATGGCAAACAAGGGGAATATAAAATTGTATGGGATGTGAAGACAGCAGATAGACACCTCTTTAATAATTCTGGAATTGGGTTCATATGATTAAAAAGAATTCTGGAAGATTCTCTCTTCCCTCCCAAAAAACACACAACCAAGTATTTCTTCACACACTGTGCAGTTAGACAATGAAATCTACTAATGTAAAATGTGGCAAAAGCCATCAGCAAACAGCTTTAAAGGGGGCTAGCCAATTTCACATAAGATAGGTTATGACTGTGTTATCTATATTTGTTAGTAATGATGGTGTTATGTGCTCCTGGCTACTTTCCTTCGTGACCAGAGGCAAGCTCGCCTGACCAATAACCAGCCAAGACACAGTGAAGGCCTTTTATTTTGTTTATTGCAATAAGCGGGGAGAGAAGCTTTCAAAGCTTGGTTCTCTCCAAAGTTTTAACCCAAAATATCTCCTTCTTTTATTCATTCCTATCACCGGCCGCTACAGCCCTCCTCTTTCCCCATTGGCTGAGGTAGTATGAGGTTACACTCTTTCCGTCCGCCTATACACATTTCCTGATAACATACTAAATCATATTCACATATACAATAAGAATAAGAAAAATTATTTTCTTATGGTTATTTTAAACTCAATATATTTAAACAATAAGTTCTTTTCCTGTTCTCCATTCCTCTCTTCTTATCTTGTTTGGCATGGTTTCCTGCTTTCCTATACTTCCTGGCTAGCCATTTCCTTAAAAAACAACTATTTATCCATTTTATGACTTTCCTCTTCCTTTCTCAGACCCCAACTATTTTTACCTATATGGTTATCTTACTTCCTTAATGTTATCTCTTTCTGACTCTCACCATCTGATTATTTTTAACTGACTGAAGATTTATCATATTGATGTATATTTATCAATGGTTAAACATTCAACCATCCAGTTGCTGGTGAGGCAAAGTGGGGGTGGCCTTGTCATAGATATTGAGTTCTCACTTTAGAAACAGAATGCAGGATAAGACAAGACTTTGGCTGTCACTGTGGTTTTTAATATTCTTATGATTTATGTTCTTATGCTGATTGCTTCTAATCTCAGCAGGATCGCCAGATGAGAATCGTTTGCCTAATAGGTTCAAAGAAGTGATATGCATACCGGTAAATAAAAGAGACATTTGCCTAGTTTATATTTTGGTAGGGCAACATTCAAGGAAACCAGAATTCTACATTTAAATTATTATTTAGAAATAATAATAATTATGGATCATTGCACAGTCAGCCGGATGTTCAGACTGGATTTGGCATTTTGTCTACCTATTGAGTCCTTACCCAGGACCTGGGATAGGCAGATATGGATGTTTGATGGTATTACAGATATCGTCGCAGGATGGAAGCAGTTCCTAGTAAGGCCGCCTTTTGCAATTGACTAATAGCGAATTTGTCAATGCCAATGGTGTTCAAGTGGTGCTCCAGTTGTTTTGGGATTGCACCCAAGGAGCCTATCACTATTGGTACTACCCTTGCTTGCTTTTGCCACAGTCTTTCTATTTCTATTTGTAGGTCTTTGTATTTTGTTATCTTCTCCAGTTCTTTCTCTTCTATTCTGCTATCTCCAGGCTCTGCCACGTCCACTATCCAGACTTTTTTGTCTTTCTTATCGACAATTGCTAAGTCTGGGGTGTTATGTTGCAGGTGCTTGTCTGTTTGAATTCTGAAGTCCCAGAGCAGTTTAATTTTATCATTTTCTATGACTTTCTCTATTTTATGATCCCACCAGTTTTCGCTTACAGGCAAATGATATTTTTTGCAGATCTTCCAATGCACCATTGTTGCTACTTTGTCATGCTGCTGCTTGCAGTCAGTAATTATTATTATTATTATCAATCATCGCACAGTCAGCCAGATGTTCAGACTGGATTTGGCATTTTGTCTACCTATCGAGTCCTTACCCAGGACCTGGGATAGGCAGATGTGGATGTTTGATGGTATTACAGGTATCGTCGCAGGATGGAAGCAGTTCCTAATAAGGCCGCCTTTTGCAATTGACTAATAGCGAATTTGTCAATGCCAATGGTGTTCAAGTGGTGCTCCAGTTGTTTTGGGATTGCACCCAAGGAGCCTATTACTATTGGTACTACCCTTGCTTGCTTTTGCCACAGTCTTTCTATTTCTATTTGTAGGTCTTTGTATTTTGTTATCTTCTCCAGTTCTTTCTCTTCTATTCTGCTATCTCCAGGCACTGCCACGTCCACTATCCAGACTTTTTTGTCTTTCTTATCGACAATTGTTAAGTCTGGGGTGTTATGTTGCAGGTGCTTGTCTGTTTGAATTCTGAAGTCCCAGAGCAGTTTATTATTATTATTATTATTATTATTATTATTATTATTATTATTATTATTATTATTATTATTATTTATTATTATTATTATTATTATTATTATTATTATTATTATTATTATTATTATAGTTGAAGGGGATCTTGGAGGTCATCTAGTCCAACCCCATGCTCAGACAAGAAACCCTATACCATTTCAAATGGCTGTCCAGTCTCTTCTTAAAAGAGCCTGATCATCTTTTTTGCTCTTCTCTGCACTCTTTCTAGAATCTCAACATCTTTTTTACATCGTGATGACCAAAACTGGATGCAATATTCCAAGTGTGGCCTTACTAAGGCATTGTAAAGTGGTATTAACATTTCACATGATCTTGATTATATCCCTCTGTTAATGCAGCCTAGCACTGTGTTGACACTTTTTTGGCAGCTGCAGCACACTGCTGGCTCATATTGATTATGATATTTTGATTTAACTATGAGAAACATTGGTAAGGAAGACAGAGACCAGTGATGGCGAATCTTTTAGAGACCAAGTGCCCAAACTGCAACCCAAAACCCACTTATGTATCATTGGGTGGGTGTGGCCAATTGGGTGGACGTGGCCCATTGGGTGGGCGTGGCTGCAGTGGTAATGGCAGACTGGGTGGGACTAAAATGTTCAATCAATCAATTCCAACTTTGCCCAATCTTTTTTTTCCCACGAGAAGTTGAAATTGATTGATTGGTTAAACCTTTTTTTTTTTTGCACATGGCAGCAGAGGCCTAAAGCAAAAAGGTTTGATAAAACCCAGCTGAAGCCCTAGGACTGGGGCGATGGCATGCATGCCCACAAAGAGGGCTCTGCGTGCCACCTGTGGCACGCAAGCCATAGGTTCGCCACCACGGACATAGACAAATATAGTCAGGAAGCTATATCATCGCAAAGTCCTTTGAGAACAGCTTACCAACACTTACAAAATTTGTAAAAGTAGTCCTTTCATTTTATACATTGGAAGCAATGAAAATGAGTAAGTGAAATGAGAGAATAATGCACAGGGGAGGTGTGATAACTGAGGAGGAATGCCTCCAGAGTCCCCAAAAATGACATGTCCCATTTTTGCTAGACTTGGTGTATGCCAGCCCTCCCAGATCTTACAAGGTTTGGCAGAAATAATTGGGAGTATCAGCGTACTTCATAGATCAGACCAGAAAATCAACTCCACAGAAAGACTAGAACTATACCTTACTGAGATAGACTACAATAACAGAATATTGAAGGTCTGATTGTGCTATCATTCCCCCCCCCCTTTTATCTGGGAAGTATTTGTCTGAGCTACTTCTGAACATTATTTTGCTTCCCAGGACTTAAAAGAATGTCTTGTCCCTCTTAATCTAGATAAAATTATCATTTCTTGTGAAATGAATGCACCCTGTTACACACAATATAACAACATATGAAAGTGGTGTATATTACGTTTCTGATTTATTACTGTTTCAGAACATTAGCTTTTCATACTAAAGTCAGACTTCAGTCTTTCCCAAATCCCAATATTCCTGATTTAGTAAGAATCACTAGCTCCAGCAATTACGGATTTTTGGTTCCTTGGGATGGGAGGGACCAAAACATACGGAGGAAACACATTTTTGGTCTAGATTTGGACATAGCCACTTATAGCCTGACTCTTATCCTATTAAAAAATAAAGATTGGGCGTGCCAGGGAACTCTTAGAGAATGAAGTAGAACGCAGCAGCCCTTAATAGCAAGAGGATACTATTGATTAGCAGTACAAGAAAAATGTTCAACTAACTGCTAAGTGGTTCAGCTAGCATTATCTGCCAAGAGAAAGACTGTCATCTATCTTTTGTGCAATGGAGCCTATAGTGGAGCTGTTTATTCTAAAGCGTTAGGCATACAATGGCCACTTTCACAAGCTTATATGATCATAACACCTTCACAAACTGTATAATCATCTGAGTTTTAAAAAAATACCAGAACAATAAGAAGCATAACCTCTTGTGCTGGAAAGCATCGTCCAAGGAACAAGAATTATTCTTTATTCTTATAAATCCTAATTCTCCTTTCTTTGGCCCAATGACTAATTAAGAGTGCTGATTTTGCAAATATACTTACAAGGAAATGACACAAGATCCATGTGAAGATTAGAATGTATCACTAGCACAAGGGACACTTTCCCCTAAGTCTGCTTCAAATTAATATGTGAGACAGAGTTGTACAATTTTATGGATTCTCTGTTTTATCTTAAGCCACTTCTTCACAAATCCCTTTTCAGCATTCCAGATGTATTTCAGTCTCTAATCTCTAAACCAGAATTTCCAACATTTCTGAGCTGGTTAGCTTATATGTAATTTTGAGAATATCTGATCAAAAAGAGTTGCTAGAGGGAAAGATTGCTCTTCAGAAAATGATTGTTACAATGGGTCTGGCTAGTCATAGAACACCAATTTATTAAAAGACAACTTAGTGAAGCTGGTCCCTGCCATACTTTTTTAGCCTCCATGATGCAGTTATCTCTAAACTGTATTTCCTACTGACTCACTTCTCCAGTGAAGATATGAAGAGAGCCAGTTTGATATAGGACAGTGTTTCCCAAACTTGACAATTTTAAGGCATGAGGACTTCAACTCCCAGAATTGAAGCAACGCTGGCTGTGGAATTCTGGGAGTTGAAGTCCTCATGCCTTAAAATTGTCAAGTTTGGGAAACACTGATATAGGGGTTAAGATGCTGGCCTAGAAACCAAGAGCCTATGAATTCTTAGGCACTAAAGTCAGCTAACTGACCTTGGGCCAGTCACTTTCTCTCAGCCCAACCCACCTCAAAGGGTTCTTGTTGTGTAGAAAATAGAAAGAGGAAGGAGCATTATATACATTTGCTGCCTTGAATTATTTATAAAAAATAATAAAGGTAGGAAAAGAAACTAATAAATGTTCTAGAAGTGTTGCCAGAAAGAATGTTGACTGGTGTCATAACTGTAATTCATGCATGCCAGGAGTAATAGATGCGTGGATTACAACTTCCATAATTTTCAATATATGCCCAACATCCATATTAGAATCATGTATTTGAGAGACATTAGACCCATAATTTTAAAGTGACTGTTACTACACAAAAGAAAGCTTGCCCTTCATTTAACAATCTTGGTACATAGCTAGCCTCTAGAGGTCTCCCTTGCCTTACACACCAGCTTGATTAATGGTTTAAAAATTATTAGCCCTGTAGATACTATCAGACAAGGATGAGCAATTTATTGTCCTAGTGCAGGGGTAATGTTGGCTCTTTTATGACTCATGGACTTCAACTCCCAGAATATAGCTGGCTCAGGAATTCTGGGAGTTGAAGTCCACGAGTCATAAAAGAGCCAAGGTTGCCTACCCCTGTCCAGCAAAGCCAATCATGAAGGCTGTTGTAATTCAACAACATCTGCCAAGCAACAGCTTGCCTCCACCATAAGGCTAAATAGGGATTCCCAACCTATTTGATCAAAGGGCACTGTTTATATTTTAAGAACGTGTCATGTGTATTAAAAGAAACAAAACAAAAGGAAAAAGGTTGCCACAAAAGCTGGCCCATTCACAAAATGGTTTCCATTAAATTGGTTTGACCAAAAGGCAAATTGCCTTAACTTCCTTGTCATCTTTTCCAAGATCCTATTATCAATCTATAGTTTAATTTTGTTTTTGTTATGATCATGTAGACGCATTTAAAAAAAACATATAGTGAGTTTTAACATCTGTTTTTATTTTATATGAACAGGAATCTAAGCCATTATTGGAAAAAGATGATTAGAGGCCAATGTTTTGTTTTGCAGCAGGCTGGTTTCAGCTTGGTAGAAATAACAGCACTCTTCACTCACCAGCTCTGACTTTTTTATACTAGATAAGAGATTGACATTTTTAAGAAGCAGGGAGGGGAACATTTCTCACTTCCTTTGGGTGATGTCATAATGTCATGAGAGAGTCTCCTTTGGTCATCCAGGAAGTAAAAGGCTGAATTGCAACCCCCTTCTTCTCAAACATTGCCCAATCTTGTGTTCTATTACCAAGTTTTTTCTCATCAGATCATATCACATTTTCCCTTCGTTGCAAATCAGCAGTTAATAGAATAGTCCAGTTACTTTCCCTTTAGCCATCACAAGGACCCAGTTGATTTTCCAACTCCTTTCAAGTATATTTATTTATGCAGCTAAAAAATGATTTCCAGTTGCTTTTTTAATTTCATTCAGAAAATCTTCCCCAGACGGAAAGATTCTAGTTTATGCCCTCCTGAAGCTGCCTCTGTTTACTAGAACAGGGGTGTCAAACTGCCGGATGTGTCATGCCGAAACCGTGCCCACCCCAGCTCCGGCAATGGAAAAAAAGTCATGCTATGTCACGACACATCACCTGACACAGCGAGTTTGACACCTCTGCACTAGACTCAAGATTTAGAAGAATAGTGATAGACTTGAACTCTGGGCTCTATCTAACAACATGAAATTCAATGCTGAGAAAAGTAAGGTTCTACACTTAGGCAAGAAAAACCAAATGCACAGGTATAGACTAGTTATTACCTGTTTCAATAGCAGTAATTGTGAGAGAAATCTAGGAGTCCTGGTGGACAACCATTTAAAAAGGAGCCAGAATGTGCTACGGCCATCAGAAAACCTCAGTGTGGTCCTAAGCTGCATTATCAGAATCAAGATCACATGAAGTGTTAGTACGGCTTTATAATGCCTTGGTAAGACCATACTTCAGTGGTTCTCAACCTGTGGGTCGGGACCCCATTTGGGGTCGAATGACCATTTCACGGGGGTCACCAAACCACGCTGTCCGTCATTTTTTTCCCTTTTCCCTTGCTGTCCTACTCCCTCTTATTGGTGGCCACACCCACTTGGGGGTCACCACAACATGGGGAACTGTATTATGGGGTCACGGCATTAGAAAGGTTGAGAATCACTGCCATACTTGGAATATTGCATCCAATTTTGGTCACCCCAATGCAAAAAAAAGATGTTGAGACTCTAGAGAAGACCAACAAAGATGACTGTGGACTGGAAGCTAAAACATATGAAGAATAGTTGCAGAAACTGTGTATGTCTAGTCTATTGAATGGGATAGGGGACTAGGGGTGACATGATAGCAGAGTTCCAATATCTAAGGGGCTGCCACAAAGAAGAGAGAGTCAATGTATTCTCCAAAGCACATGAAGGCAGGACAAGAAGCTATGGATGGAAACTTATGAAGAAGAGATCCAACCTAGAAATAAGAAGAAATTTCCTGACAGTTGGAACAATTAATCAGTGGAATGGCTTGTCTCCAAAAGCTATGGGTGCTCCATCATTGGAGGTTTTTAAGAAGAGATCAGACAGCCATTTGTCTGAAATGATATAGGGTCTCTTCCTTGAGCAGGGAGTTGGACTAGAAGACCTCCAAGATCCCTTCTAATTCTATTATTCTATAGCCACTAACGACTAAGTCCAATCCTCCTGAATTCCATTAATATTTATCTAACTGAAAGCAGGTGCTAACCATTAGTTGAAAAGATTCCTGTGCATGGACTATTTAGCAATAAATCAGTTTAATCAGATTTTCTCGTGTGGTTTTTCCCACCTGATGATACTGAAGCATTTATACAGCAAATTTAAAAAAATCCTTGAAACCAAAAATTGGTTTAATTGAGGAAAGCTAACTATGGGCAAGTGTATTATGCAAACATAACCTGTATGTTGTTAAATGTTTGACATCATATTGGAATTATTTGTGTGGTTTTATAAGAAAGCCGTTTCCTATTTTTTTTTAAAGCTTTTCAAAAATTCTTCTTCAAAAAAGAATATGGATTAGAATAAATCATTCTAGTATGTAAAACAATATATTACAATTACAGTTCTTACCTCTCTACTTTGCCCTCACCACACCATAAATACCAAAGACTTTCAGCATGAGTTTAGATATTGCATGCATAGAAGCCCTTCACCCAATCATTGTATAGCTAAGGTCAACTAAAGAGCTTGTGGGAATATTTCAGGTTACAGTTGCCAGCCTTTAATTCTAAGTGCATTAATCTAGTATAAAACTGATATTAGCTATAGTTAGGCATACTAATTTTAGACCTTGACATTACCCTTGTTATAGCTCCCACACCCTTAGTAGAAATGTGGAAGTATTTAAATTATAACTATAAAGCATATTATTGTTTTTATCTTCCTCTTCCCCACCCTGCCATTCTGTGTTTTACAACCTTTCAAATATTCCTGATATTGGGCAAAACAAAAACTAAAATTTGTCAACCCTGATTTTAAATAAGAAGGAAAACAATGAACATGTTTTCCTTTTGAACAGTTTCTTATCACAAACATAAATCATAGGATCATTATAATTACCAGATTAGAAGGGAATTTGCTATTTTGGTTTGATGCTGAGCACTTTTGCTTGGCAATATGTACAATATTTTTGGGAAGAATGGTTTTATGCAATCATGCTTTTCAGAAGTAAAAATAGCAAAATTAGCATAACCATAAATCTTCCTGATCTCTAGCTCTCAGCTATAAGTTGTTTTAAAAGTAGAATATACACTATTGCAGTATCTTACCTGCAGTGAGTGCTAAATCATCCAGGCAGCTGTCCTGGCCTGTTTTCCACTCCCGTCCTGTCTTCTGCTTCCATCACCTGTTCAATATTTCTTTAGCTTCCCAGGTCCAACTGATTTTCTATACTAAAAATAAATTTATAGAAGTTTACAGACTGTACTATATATTCCAGTGTTGCTTTTATTTTCAAACAGAGCTTATCTTGCCCTAAATGACTCCTGTAAACTTTCTTAAAGATAAAGATCATAGGCAATGACAGCCATAGGCATTCTGTAGAATGTTAATTATCATAATGACCTGGTTGACAGTATCTAAGCAGACTTGGGAGTTGACAGGGAGATTTCCAGGGAATACCATGTCAGTACCCTAGATTGGGAAATTGAAAAAAAAAAATATCCCAAAAGAAGGCCAGTGCAAGTCATTCTTTATTGTTGCCAAGAAGCTACATAGCTATTTCTGTGAAAGTACCAGGAATCAAACTCAGCTCAAAATTAATTTATATGGATCCATTTCCAGGAGAAAGCAACTACTGCATGCAAGGAGTTTCTTTGTAAGCAATCTAGTACAGAAAAAAAAAGGGGGGGGGATATCTACTTACTCCTTTTTTAGAGGAGGCAATACAACACTTCTCATAATTCAAACTCTTCTTCTGAGAATGTCTTAGAAAGTGCACCTTTTACTCTTCTGCTAAGAACCACTCAAGTTAAATTTAAGGTTAAGATAAATTTTAAAATATTTTTTTCCCCTCATGATAAAGAGCAGAAATATTTATATGTAACATTTGTAATACTCAGCCCATCTTGTCCTCCCTCTCTGATGTATGGGATCCACAGCTCTTGCTCTATATACCAGACCAATGCCCATTCTGACTGGTCCTTATACACATACCAAGGAACTGGAAAGAAGTCGCTAAACAAGAGAAGACCACTATGAGAAAAGATGATTTTGATGACTTCGATTTTTCAAACTTGGCAAGATGTGTGGACTTCAACTCCCCAAACTCCCTGGTTAGTAAGGTTTGAAGCCCAGACATCTTAAACTTACAATAACTTGAAAAACATTCACTTAGAAGTTGTAGGCCATGGGCTGATGAAGCCTCCTGATAGAATGGTTGGCCTCACTGGAGATGAAGATTACTCATTTGGACAGAAGAAACTTTTTTCTGCTTGTAAGCAGTTTTCCCTTCCAGTTGTGTAGAACCTAGAGCAAATGCAAAAGCACCTTTTGGTGCTTCAGAAAAAAAGAACTACAGCTCCCAGAGTCCTTTGTTGTTCAGGTGAAGCACAGGGTGTGTTCTAGCCGCCGGGACTGGGGTTTCCTTTGGAGAAAAAGTTTTCTTGGTGTGAAAAGGAGCGCTTTACCTGATTAAACCTGGAGGAATAACTCACAAGGTTAGTGAAAAAGATACTTGATGTAACTGCAAGGCTATGCAGTGATTCCGGGAGTTGTAAAAGGACTCCGTTTCCTTTACTGCGTAAGGTCTTACTTTTTATCGCACGTTTTACTATTGTTCATTTTAATAATCGTGTGTGTGTGGGGGTCTCTTGGTTGCAAATTGGGGCCTGAATGTGATCTCCCTTACCGCGACCGCCATCCTGGATCTCAGAAATTCCATTGTCCAGCGTAAGATTTGCCGCAGGCGGGAAAATCATCCGAGGGATTTGGCTACAAGGATACTTCCGTGGAGTAAGTGACCTCTGTGTTTCTTTCTCACACCCGCGAAGCTGCTTGTAGAAGAAGCGAGGCCCTGGTCCTGGAGGGGGGGAGGGGTGTCGAACCATGAAGCAAACTAAGAAGAGTGATACAAATGATGCACTAAAAAATGATTTTGCTTTCTTTCTAATGCATTCCCAACCCAAAGCAAAAACAATCACAAAAGCATTTGCACTTTTGGCCTGGAGAGAATCTTAAAATTAATTATTTAATTGTAGCAGCCTAAGGCATTGGATTCAAATAAGGCAGGGTTTTCATTTCATTTTATTTATTTTTTGCTTAAAAATAGTATATCTTTCTACCTTTTGAAAATCTGAGAGGACCAATAGAAGCAGTAGCTATAATATAGAGGTAAATCAAAAGAGGCAAGATTTTAACACGCAGTTCTCCCTGGGAAAATTGGGGATGCTTCTTTATGATAAAATATCACTTATTACAACCCACCTACTGCATAATTTACTCCCAGTAAGAAGTTCAAGAAGAAGTGATGCTTCTTGCTAAATATAGATCTCATAGGTCTATTATTCTAATGAAAAAAAATGAAAAACTCTGCAGAAATCTCAGAAACAAGAAAGCACTGACAATTCTGGACTTTAAAATTTAGTTATGATGATGAAAATGAGCCTGTCGCCTTTTCTAAATAAATCTATATTTTCTAGGATTAGGTTTGCCCCACTTTTTTCATCATTCGCTCTGGAGGAGCACTTTGAAGCAAAATAATAATAATAATAATAAATTGCTACGGTCCTGGAGATCAAGTTTAAACACGAGTGATTGTAATAACCTTGTGCCCAGGTAAATAGGCTGGTATCTTCAGCATGATTCTGGAAAAATGATCCTTTCTTAACCCTTTTGGGATGCCCTGATGTATCAGACAGCTAATTTTAAAGAGGTGGCTGCCAAGAATATGCCCAGAGAAAAGAGAGGGTGGAAGATGAGACAGCAGCCTGGAGTGCTTGGCACAGTTGGAGCAAAAAGCCTGGGTTAAGCAGCCTGTCCATTCTTCCGAAGCTGCGTGAATGAGAGAATGCAAAGAAGGGTTGCCTGTGGAATAGGATGCTCTTGATGGAGGCATTGTTTTACCTTGGGACTGTGACAATTTCCAAGAGCTAAGGTGGCCTTTGGACAGTCTTGTGTTGGTAAGTAACCAGGCTGTAATCTTTACTTTGAGGAATGAGTTACCAAATGCACTAGAGACACTCCCGACCAGCTTTCTTCCTATGTTTTTCTTTGATGGCTATACTGAGCTGCCCGAGAAATTTGCAGAACTAGGAAAAAATAACCTCATGCGAGGTCATTCGCCAGCTATCTGCTGGAAGCCAGTTTGTTGGGTGGTGACTTTTGTATCTTCTTATCCAGTTCCCTCTTATCCCCTGGGACTGTGCGTTATGATTATGAATTTCTCTGGGCAATACCATATAGATACTGACAAAAGTATAGAACTGCAGTCCGGTTATTTTATGGGAGTTAAAACATTTTTGTTTCACTATACAATATATGCACTGTGGAATAAATTTATGAGAATATAATCTTTCTGAACAAATCATTTAATTTATCTTAGCTCATTCTCTTGTACCTACACGCAATTTTTATAATATGTTCATGCACACGTGAAAGGGAGAATGACCCTGGGCAATGAGCTGGCTGCCTGAATCTTGATTGACTCCTTAGAGCTCAGCAGTGACCATGCCAATTATACATTCTTCCCCTGTGTGGCCAGCAATAAATGATGCAAAATTCATTGAGATTTGGGCCACACTAGCTGGTGTAGTTGCTGCCAAAGATCTTCAATTGCACTTTGTTTCTGAATTTGAGTAAAACAGTCTGATCTGGGTTTTGGTATTTCTTCTAAGAGAGAAAATAGCATGGCCCACTAGCAGATTGGGGGAGGGGAGAAGACTATGAATCCTATAAACTATGATATATATGCATGGCAAAACCACTTGAAGACACCTCCCTCAAAAATATTATTGAAACAGGGAAAGTACAGATAATTTTTATTGTGCAGATCAAGGGTCTCCTTAGTAGATATCTTCCAAATCAGATTGAAAAAAGTATATACATCTCCTTGAATGGCTTAGATCAGTGTTTCTCAACCTTGACAATTTTAAGGCATGTGGACTTCAACACCCAGAATTCCACAGCCAGCAATGCTGGCTGGAATTCTGGGAGTTGAAGTCCACATGCCTTAAAATTGTCAAGGTTGAGAAACACTGGCTTAGATAGAGATAAAGTTTTGCTATTCAGTTGAATTGGTGCCAAAGCAGGACAAAAGGCTTCTAATTCATTGGGAAGGCAGGCAGCCATGACGGGCAAGCAAATGCATTTTATGCATATCATTTTCTCAGCAGCTGGCTCCTTGCATTGTGTGGAAGTGAAAGAACACGAAGCTTGACATTTATGTGTAATCCCTATGTCACTAGTCATGCTACTGGGTCTGCTGGGGGTAACGGGTTATAAATTGAACTTTCATAAAAAAAAGAACAACTCAACGCTGCTCATATCAAACCTGAAGCATTTTAGAGCAGAAGTAGGCAACTCCTTTGGCACCCACCAAGTTCCCTATCATCTAACAATTTGTGTATACTCTACTTAATTTTAAACAATAAATGGAAGTTGAGGTGCTGCAAAGAAAGTGCCAATATCTAGCTGCAGCTGTATTTGCATAAAAGCCTTTAAATCAGTGGTTCTCAACCTTTTTAATGCCGCGACCCCCAACCGGTCGTAAGTCGAGGACTACTCAACCGGTCGTAAGTCGAGGACTACTCAACTGATGCAGTACCGTTTGCAGAATGGGACTTTTGGCGGGCTCAGCAGGGCAGAGACAGCCTGGACAATTCCTATTGGCTTTTGAAAGCCAATAGAATTAGACTCTATTCAAGAGAGTCTATTCTATTGGCTTTCAAAAGCCAATAGAATAAAAGGGAGTAGCACAGCTAAGGAAAAGGGGGAAAAAATGGCGGACTGCGTTGTTTGGCGACCCCCGTGAAATGGTCATTCAACCCCAAATGGGGTCCCGACCCACAGGTTGAGAACCACTGCTTTAAATAAAAACGGTGGGTGACACCATTGAGGGAGGTGCACCTGATTAAAAAAAAGAGAGATTTTCTCTTTTGCTGCTACAGTTGAGTTGAAGTGCTCCTGGGCAGCCTTGAGTCAACAGAAAACTATACAGGTTGCCCCTGGCTATGTCATAATAAGCAGGAAAGTACCAATTTAACCAAGTACAGCTAAAGGTGACTTAAGACTGTCTCACTCATGGGTTGGGATCAAGATAAAGGCAGTGTCATGGGAAATTGCAGAAAAACCGGTACCAGAGCCTGCTGAATCTTTGGTTAAGTGAAACCACCAACCCACTATGGGCTCAAACTCCCAAAATTCCCTACCCAGCGAGGTGGCTGGGGAAATCTGGAAGTTGAAATCCACTCACCGTAAAGTTGCTAAAACTGAGGAACGTTGACCAAGAGGTTTGCTCAAAAAACCCCAAGCAGGTTATAATAGTAGAATAATCCAGCTGATATCTAGGAAAATAAAGAAAAGGAACATGATAAATGGTTTGAACAGGAATATACCTGTCTCATCTGGTCCATTAGTCTTTCTGTTCCCCTTTCTGTTTTATTCTGACAAATAAAAATTTGTGGAGAGACAATTCATTCTCCCCAAGTCCTTCTTCCTATCAGAACAAGTTAGGGGGCAATTGTTTTCCTTCTCCATGAAAACTGTTCCAATATCTAATGGGTTGCTACAAAGAAGAGGGGGTCAACTTATTCTCCAAAGCATCTGGAGGCAGGGCAAGAAGCAATGGATGAAAACTAAGCAACTTAAAACTAAGGAGAAATTTCCTGACAGAACAATTATTCAGTGGAACAGCTTGCCTCCAGAAGTTGTTGGAAGTTTTTAAGAAGAGATTGGACAACCATTTGTCTGAAATGGTACAGGGTTTCCTACCTGAGCAGGGGGTTGGACTAGATGACCTCCAAGGTCCCTTTCAACTTTGTTATTTTGTTAAGAAAGGGATGTTTTTTTGCTCTGAGAGATGAGCAGTGATGTTCTCCCTGCCATCTGCTGGATGCGAAAAGACATTCCATATAGAGCAGCAATGTTCAACCTTGGCAACTTTAAGACGTGAACTTCAACTCCCAGAATTCCCCAGCCAGTACTGGGGAAATCCTGTTTGGCTCATTCTGTATTGGGTGCTTTCCTTCATACAAGAGGACTGGGAGAGCCATCAACCCCAGGAAAGAAATAAAGTTCCAGAGCTTTACTGCTGCCTCATCTGTTCACCAAGGATAACAGCTTGCATAGCTGAGGCCCAGTATGTTAAAGTTTGGACTATCAGGAAGTAGTAGTTCAGCTTAAAACTTAAAACAGCAGCTGTTAGGCAAGCTAAATTTGCTGTGCCTTTTATTGCCACACCCATAGCCATGACTCTCTCTAGCTTTGTTTACCCCTTGTGTATTTTGGAGTCAGGAAAAGATTAAGGCTCTACAAAGCACTGAAAGCTGCTACTTCACAACAATCTTTGCCCCGAAGCTGTGACTAAGCTGGAACTGACTTCTAATTTTTGCAACAGAGGGGACGTGCGAATACATAACAAGGCTTGAGGATTTGTGTTTCAGACCACTCTTGAGTTCCTCCAGAAGTTTGGATTCTGTCTTTATCAGGCTGGAACAAAGATGTCTGATAGTTCATATTCAACCTCTGGGGTGGACCATCCTTGTCCCTGTATCAGAAGATAAAAATGTGCAAGGTCTTGTCTCAAGCTCCACTTAAAATCACGTTTTTTTTTATTAAAACAGGTCAAGACTGGTTTGCTGTTGTCTTTTTCTTGCCATTTTGATGAAGTTTCATTTTGACAAGGTCTTAAGATCTGCAGACAGCCAGCATGTGGGACCTTACTTAAGGGGAATGATAGATAATGTGAGAGAGTTCAGACTGAGAAGCTTCTGCTTCTCAGTCTGAACTCTCTCACATTATCTATCATTCCCCTTAAGTAAGGTCAAGAACTGTCCTGGTCAAGATAATTACTTAATCACTTCCCCAGAAATGGTGCACGCACTGACCTTATACTTAAACCACAAGTTTAGAATTTCAAAAAGCAAAGATGACATAAAGTTCTTCGCTATCAGTATAGCAAAGTACAAAAACAAAATATCTTTCTGAATACAGTAAAAGCATGTTGCAACTCTTGCTGAGCTGAGCGGCAGGGAATGAGCTAGGCAGTTTCCTGGTGTTGAACCCTGACAGGATGCTCCGTTTTTATCTTTCATAGGCAACAACCTCACTTCCTTTCTTCATTCTTCTCATCCTCTATTGAGAGTTTCAGTCCCCTGAACCTGCACAGTCAGTGGTAGAAACAAACTTCCCGTCAGGCAGGAAGCTTGGTTGCTTCATTTGCTGGTGTTCACTCACACTCTCCTCTCAGGAATGCAGGAACTGGGTTTTACTAGCCCTTGGAAGCCTAGCCCATCCTGGAGTATTGAAATGCAGAGTTACTTATCTCCCTAGTGACAGCTGGGCTGCTTGACAAGGATTGGAGCTGGTCAAGAGAAACTTTATGTGAAGTCTTCTGCTAGTGGAAGCAAGAGATGCACCTGCAGGTAAGCGCAAGGGAGCTTCTGCTTTCCTTTGCAGAAATGATTGGCTGTACGACTGAAAGTCAGAGAAGTACGTAGTGTGAGCACCAGCAGCTGTATTTGGATTGTCTGACAAGCAGGCATACAGACTGAATTGCAGCCTTTGTCTGGACCTTGTTTTCCTTCCTTTTTGTGTGATTTGCTCACAGCGGACCAGGCTGCTCTTGCGATACACACTTTCTAAATCTTGTAGTAGGAGGAGGCGGGAAAGCCCAGTATAGCTCCGTGTGTCTCAAGTTGTGATCTTTATGGCATATAGGCTTGAATGTTGTGTCCTGCTGTTCTTTGATCTTGAGAGGGAATAAGAAGACATCAGATATTAGACCACAGTCTAAACAATTTGTTAGAAGATGCGGAGCCTGAATTGCCTCAATGGAACCAGCTTCGTGTGACATTGATTCTTCCTGTAACCTTCATTTGGAAATGTGGTGGAACTGAAAAGTGCAAAGGCCAGCAAATTACTTGTGGAGTTATTTATCAAAATGTCCCACACAGTGACTTTCACCTTTCACGACCTTGAGAATGGAGATCCTGCCAGGTGAGTGTGGTTCTTTTTTAAATAATTTTAAAAAGTTTATAACAACTTTATTCATTCCTGCCTTAGAAACGGAAAGCATGTCATTAAATGGTTAGAGTACTTCCAAAGTAGGTACAAAGCTGAAAATTAGCAGGTATTGATTTCAAAGCAAACTACTTTTAAAAAGCCTGAAAATGAGACTTTTCTTTTTCTATATTGAATAATCAGAATACTAAAAGTAGAATTCTTGTTAGCATAAAGCATGGGAAGGAATGTTGGTGTGCGGGAGTTCTGTTGCCTGTTTATGAAAATTGGAGAGAGAAGTTTCCGGAAGCAAATGCAAATCATTATCAACATTGAAAAAAAAAAGTTAATGGACTATTTATATGCGCTGATGATGTTACCTAGTTTGGTAATGAAATGTTTGCAAGAAATTCTCCAAGCTCAGAGAGCACTAAGGACCCCAAAGTTCAACTCTACTATCGGAACTATTTATAATCTCCAGTGTAGATCCTTGGGAATAAGTGGGTAGTGCATAAATTGCCCTACCATGATTTCAGTTATTCTCAGAATAGTCTACAGTGTTAGGAAAATATTAGTCATAGCTTCTAAATGTTTTGAATATTGCTGCCTTAGATCTGACCTTAAGATGTATGAAACATGTTTTGTCCATTATTGAACCACAGGTACCAAGATCCACAAATTACTATTACCAGTAATAGAATTTTTAGCCACAGAGATCAAAAGTACAGTATTTATATATTACAAATTCTGGAAGAAACAGGGATTGATTCATTCTACTTCAATATTAGATTGGTAGATAATCATCATTTCTCCAGACTTAGAACAGAACATACTAGAAATGTATATAGCTATGTAATAAAGATTTACAGAATTTGGATGGAAATATGTTAACATTTTAATTAAATTGGGAAAAAATGGAACAATAAAACGCAATTATTAGAGCGCTAAAATATATGATGCTGAAATTAATCTCTATGTTATAAAACTACTTTCCAAGATGTAATAATCAAGACTTTGTTATTTGTTTGTAGTTTATTGTTTAAACATATAAGGCTTTAGTTTCACTCTTATTATGTAGATCTCCTGGGTTCCCATTAGTAGATGCTTACATAAGGCTCTGAAGGCCCTGAGGGGAAGTCTTTGTAAACCAGATTTTATCACCTGGTTAGTTATTTTCCATTCCTCTTATGCATTCTGCCTGTGTCTTAGACTTAGACTCTGCCATGGCTTGCTATAAAGAACTGTAACGTTCTAATATGTCCCATGTGAAGTTGGTGAGATGTTAGAGGCTGTTGTTTAAGGGATCCTGTTAATTAAACAGTTGGGCAGACCAGTTCTCTGTTCCCCACAGCCAAGACCCAAGTCCATATGATGAAGGGGCCGTGCATGATTCCTTCCACCAGCTAATTAAGGAGCAGAGCAGTTTGGCTGAACAAGAGTTGGTGGAGATGCAAGATCTGACTAACAGGAGCAAAGGTGAGACAAGCCATATCTATATAGCACAGAGACTTCCTGATGATTATCAGGGATATTCAATTTGTAGACAAATAGTTGGGGTGAAGGAGAAAGATGCGTAACTTTTAAGTGATATTTCCTGATTTTCTTCACACAACAATGCGAAAACCTGATGTTACTCTCAGCTTTTAACGTAACAAAATATGGATGAAGAGATGTTTTCTAGAAAGCATTTTCTTTCTTTTCAATCATTGTATCTCTGTACAACTAACACCTATAGCTAAACAAAAATCCTTGGCTTATTAACTACATTTAACAAGCCTGTTCACAGTAAAAAGTATGATCACATTTTATCCTCATAACCATCTTGTATGGGAGATTCCAATTCTTTTAAGATGTACAGCAAAAATACTATTAGCTGATTCTCCATTAATCTAATGGGTTCCTAGATGCCGTGGAAACAAGTAAGCCCATCCTTTTAAGGACATACAACAGATTTCAGAAAAAGCCCAAGATTTCATTGCCTATATAGCAGAGGATTTACCTTTAAAAAGTTTGTGCTCCTGCTGGATGAAATGCCATGTTCCCAAGTCCTCCAGTCCCTGTTGCTGTACTTACTTCTATTTTTTTTCTTCCTAGCATTTTCCCTCAATGTAATAACAGAATTATGTAGCTCTAGTTCTATTTATGAAAATGGTACTGGTGGCAGGTGTAGTAATATTAACCTTTTTTGCAAGATTAACATGAAACTAGATAAGATAACTGAAAGGGCATTGGAGATAGAGGTGAGCCTATAGACAGTAGTAGGCCAGATCAGAACCAGAGGACTAAGCAAGATGTGGGATCTATGAGTGAGTAAGAACCAGGGCTACAGGGGGATCCCACCATCTAGGAAGAACTCAGCCAACACAGAAAATTTTGTTATCTTCTTTTTCTGACCTTTAGGATCCAGTGGCTCAGCAAGAGAGCTGGGTCAGGATCGGGCATGAACACATTTTACTGAGAATATTTTTACATGATAGTGTTAAAGGATCATTTGCCAGTGGAAGAGGTTGACATACAATGGCACAAAATTGTATCTTTGATCTTCTGCCACAGAATGAATCTTTGCTGGAAGAGACAGAATTATAGATAGTCCTTGTTTAGTAACTGCCTCATTTAGTGACCATTTGGCCTTACAGTGATGACGAGAAAGTAACTTGGGAACCAAAGCTTGCATTTATGAGTTCTGTAAGTCTGAAAAGCAAAGAAAAGCTGAAGTAAGATCATAAGCGCGGCTTCATTTAGCAACCACTTTGCTTAATGCCTGAGTTACTAGTCTCAATCGTGGTAGCTAAATGAGGTCTACCTGTTGCCCCAAAGGAGCCATTCTCTGCCTCTTTGATCTGTTCTACTTCCCACGTCACTCCTGGGAAAAGAAGCTGGAGCAAGAGACGAGACCTGCCCCTTCTTTTACCATGATGCCACATGGAAGCAGCCTTATGTTGGATTGCTTGACCTGGTGCACAAGCATATCTACCTAGCCAACCCCATAGATCAGCCATGGTAGCGCAGTGGTTAGGATGCAGTATTGCAGGCAAACTCTGCTCACCACGAAGAGTTCGATCCTGGCCGGCTCAAGGTTGACTCAGCTTTCCATCCTTACGAGGTGGGTATAATGAGGACCCAGATTGTTGGGGGCAATAGGCTGACTCTGCAAACCGCTTGGAGAATGCTGTAAAGCACTATGAAGAGGTATCTAAGTCTAAGTGCTATTGCTGTCAGGTATTGCTGTGCCTGCTCTGTGGGGGCTAGACAAGGAGTTGAATTCTAGCTGTAGGGTGGCTAAAGAGTAACTTTTCTCCCACCTTCACCCTAACCATTTTCCAGTGCCACAGAGTTCCTTCCTGGGATGGGAGAATTGGTAGCTGAAGAGTTGTTGTCATTCTACCAGTGTTGCTGGCTTGGGGATCTGCTGCTAGATCAGGCTGGTAGGCAAAAGAAGGGAGAGAGCCTGGCTCTTTGGCACAGGGGGAGAGCCCTGTGGAGAGCCCAAGGCAGATAGCCCTGAAAAACAATGGGCAGAGAAGGTAGAAGGGGCATTTCTGCAGCAGGCTCAAGTGGCCAATCAGAGCAACTGCCAGCTCTTTAAGTTTCCTCAGTGCAATGTGCTGCAGATCATCTGACGGTGTGTCAGAAAGTTGCAAACGCCTCTTGAAAAATGGAAGAGGAAAGGTAAACATAGGTTGTCTTCCTGATGGATCAGGAATGAACTGAAGACAGAATAGAGCATTAACAGAGCTGGAAGGGACCTTGGAGGTCTTAAGTTCAATCCCTTGCTCAGGCAGGAGACCCGGTGCCATTCCAGATATAAATGGCGGTCCAATCTCTTCTTAAAAACCTCCAGTGACCCACCACTTCTGGAGGCAATCTGTTCCCCTGGCTAAAGACCGCATTTTTTTTTAACAAGTTTTATTAATTTTTCAATTTTTACATCAAAGTGCTTAGGAAACAACATGGTGATGGGGTAATCAATTATCCAAAAACAAAGTCATATGTGTATAATTCAGGTTAACTCCTTAAAAGTTCCCTCTCTATTTCCCACAATTAATATGACATATTCAAATTAATACATTTCTAAATAGAGTTCAATCAATCAATACAATT